AAAATTAAAATCACAGAACCCTAACTTCACTATCAGTAAGTCTGTATCCTAGACCAGCCCTCCTTGTCAGACATTGTTTAAAGTGGAATTTCTCGTCTGCCGATGGAATCCACAAATTCCTAATGCATCTCTGTGTGAATCGCTTCTCTGTTCCTCCACTGCCTGTTGGTGGTGTGCACATATGTGAGCCATTGCGGAGAACAGAGGGGTGATTCAGACACTGGGAACATTTTTAGAATAATGATACTCAGTGGAATTTCACACAGACGTGCATTTTAATTTATGACTATAGGTCACTTTTGTCAAATAAAGCATGTATTTACAATATTCAAACATTTACAGATTTTGATATGTTTAACTCTTTTGGCTTTAGGTTTATGCTTCTCCTTAATGTTTACATAATTTAAGTTCTGACAATGGGAAAGTTAAAACGGAAAAAGAAACAATCCAACTGTAAGCTAAGCAGGGCCGCGGTAGTTGGAAATGGACAGTATTGAAGCCCTAGCATCTGTAGATCAAGGCGAGTCATTCTTTCTGCTCTGATTTATTCATCCACTTCGTTTTTCATCCACCCATCCATAGTCACAGTCTCACAGCCTCCCTCTCACTCCCAACACAGTATAGTATCAAAAATGTTTACACTGGAAAGGGGCAAGTTGTTCAGCCTCTCTGGTTCTTGATTTCTTTTTTATTTTTAATCACTTTTTTTTTCTGGTTCTTGATTTCTTTATCTACGAGAGAGTTGTTTAAAATGCCGTGATATTCTGGAACTATTTGGGTAGCATATAATATTTAGGTTGTACACAATAATAACAGCATCAACAGTCGTCCAACAAGTCTCTTCTGCTCTGACTTTATTCCAACTACTTAATGGTTAAGAGCACACTTGAGGGCCCCTAAAACCAGATGAAAGTTCCTCTTTGCAAGCATTGGGCTAAACTCAGCTGCCCCAGAGCTCTGGGGAAGGCCATAGCTTTCTCTGTGATGAACTAGGACACAAGGGGGCTGAAAAAGCTGAGAGGGTGCCTGGCAGGATACACCTGACCTCAGGGGACACAGGAGAGCCACTCCTTGTCTTCCTCTGCTAGGAGTCCAGGAACAAACGCTTACCCTCAGAGAAGTCAGGGGTTCAGCCCTGGAGTGATTCATCAGCCTGTGGGGGTGAAAACACAGAAGCAAAGAATTCTCTGGGCTTCTCAAAGGAAGATGAGATTTATATAATGATCACCCTCCAATCACAAAGGGTCCTTCTACTCTGTAGAGGCATCCAGTAAAGACATGCAGGCAGGGTTAGGTAGGATCTCGGAGCTTGCCCTCCTCATCAACATGCAGAGATTTGGGGTTCAGGGATCAGGGCACTGGATGTGTGCTTCCCACTCAGCAAGAAACCAAGTTGTCAGTTGCTCTTTCTGGCATGTTTCAAAAGTGGATTTTAAAACTCTGTCTACTATCTCCTTGGAAATGTAGTTTTTACAAGAATTTTAGAAATCTCTTGGAAGCCCTGGTCAAAATTTGGATTAAATTTAGGTTAACTGTATAGAGAAATACTATAACTACTGATGTCATATGGAATTCTTCCAGTTGGGAAAAAAATCCATGGAGCACCACAAGGGTGCAAGATGTCAGAGACGGCTTTTTATATGTTTTGAAACATAGAGGCTTGATTCTAATGACTATGTCATATGCTAAACACATGTGACCTTAACTAAATACCACAAAACCTACCGTAAATTCATCATCAACCTTAATAGTTTCCTCATTCCGAAACACATTTGTTTTGTAACTTAATGCACTAAGGCCAATAGTTTAAGGTGACAACACAGAGTTTAAATGAAAAACATATCAGATCTATCTGTCTGTACAACCAAACATATACGTGCACACACACGTTTCCACATACTTAACAACTTCTCTGCCATTTTAAGTCAAAATGGAAGGAGAGGAATTTTGCACACATTTGAACTGTGCCTGTGCTACCATTGACAGCCTTAGATATTTTAAGAGTCTCACCTCCACTTTAACAAGCCAAATGGACAAAGTTAGGTGGAATTAGATTTTTCCAAATACTTCCCTTTCTTTACCAGTTTCTGTTGGGCTCTGTGTGTGTGTGTGTATCCAAAAGTTTTCTTCAGTGGAAAAAAAAAGCCACACAGAGACTTTTAAGGTGTCTATTGAAAGATGATAGATGATTTTAAAAGTTATTAGAAGCTGGTGTTTGCTTTTGGAATTTCCTTTATTTTTTTTAATAGGTGGTGGAATTTAAACAACTCCACTGTATCCTTGTTCTTTTTTATTTTTATTGGGTTTTTTGGGGGGGGAGTATTTGGTTTATTTATTTTTGGAAGAGGTACTAGAGATTGAACCCAGGACCTTGTACATGCTAAGCATGTGCTCTACCACTTGAGCTATACCCTCCCCACTTACTTTAAGTTTATGATCCAAGTTCTTTGATTCTAAGACTAGCTCATACTCCTAACATCCTCTTCCAGGGCTAGAATTGGCCAGATAATGCCCTTTCCCAGCACCCTCAGGAAGGGGCGACAGAGCGACGGAAAAGGCAGCTGGGAGGGAGGCGGGCAGACAGAGGAGGGTCCTAGCTAACAGTCCCTTCTCCCCTCTGTAGAAGTGAGCTTGAGGCTGCTGCTTCCACTGGGGGTTCACAGAGATAAAAGGAGTTTCACTTAAGACACATATTCCAGCAACATGTTGACCGTTAGCAACCACAAAAAAATAAGCAGGATAAAATTTTGAAAGAACACTCATTTTCCTTTGATCTTCCCCCTTCAAATGGATCTGAAAACAAATACAGGGGACTTTTAGAGGGAAATGATTAATGCAATCATTGAGTAAATGTTTTAGTCTGCATATTAAAGAATCAAATGTGGTAGAATATTCACAAGAATCTAATTTTCCCGTGTTCTCTATCTGTATCTAGGTGCCTGTCTATTATCATTGCTAAATGTAAAGCAGTAACCCAATAGTGTAAGTTAATATAATAGAATACATACTTGTATAAAATACTTATAATAATCTACTCTTTGGAAATATACATGGTCACATGTTTCCACTGGAGTAAAAATATATTCCAGAGTATGTTTAACACATTTTATTTCTTGCCTTATTTTAAATAGGAATAAGCTTCTACTTCCTAATTCAGGGAATATTTAGTGTAAAACAAAAGTTTTTACCAATGTTTCTCTCAGGGCAGAAAATAACAAGGTTTACATATTGAAGTTTCTCTTTCTATTTTTAAATTTTAACACTTCGACAGACACTTTGCCTTAAAGAAAAAAGAATACTTCAATACCCAAATTCAAATGAGGATAAGATTCAGTCCTGAGTCAGACAAGCCAGAACCTTGACAAAAACACCTCGGGTGTCTCCCCTCTGCATGGTCTACTCAGCACTTTCAGACACAGCGTCTTCCAACTCTCACGACTACCCTAACGGACAGAGACGGGAATCAAGATCTCCTTTAGAGACGAACTTAGTGTCATGGGTCTCCAGTCCTTCATTTTACCTGGGAGAGGGCAGAAAGGCACTTGCCCCAGTGAAAAGAAGCAGGATCAAGGCGTCAACACACCTAAGTGCTGGGGCAGAGACCAAAAAATCAGGACAAACAGTTGATGTTAAGCACTCACCACCTTTCTCTAATGACCTGGAAGCATTTGAAAAACTAAGTGAGTAGGTATATTTCTAAGGAAAATTTCTCTCTGTGGGGTAATATTGATCATTCATTCATTTTCCATCTATTCAACATGTTATAGAGTTCCTATTGGGTGGCACACCTAATTCTGGTGCCAGGAATTTAGCAAGACAAAGAGCTGGCCTTTGGGAAAATGTGTACTCCTGTGGACTATGCCGCCCAGTAAATGAGCAAGAGGATCTGGGAAAGTGGTGAACACCATGGAGGAAACACACAGGGGGATGTAAGCATGATGGGGGAGGGAAGGACAGAGGATTGCCTTTGGTACAAGATGGTCAGGGAGGTACAACTGGCCCTAAGAATGAGCCATCCTGACTAAACCAAGGTCTGGAAGCAGGAATGAACTGAAGGAAGGCAGGCCAGTGTGGCCAGAGGTGGGCAGCAAGGGAGAAAGGGGCCAGTCCTGAAGGGCCCCAGAGGCTATGGAAAGTGGCTGGAGCTTGTTCTTCACACAAAGAGAAGTTGTCAGAGTTTTTTTTGTTTTTTTTGTTTGTTTTGTTTTTTGAGAAGGAAAGGGATATACTCTGATCTATGGTTTCAGAAGAACACTCTGCCCACATGGTAACAGAAGGGCAGAGCTGGGAGAGGGAAGGCCAGTGGAGAGAGATTCTCATGGCCTATGTAAGAGAGAATGGTGGTCTGCCAGGTAGAAGCAACAGGAGAAAAGTAGCCAGAGGCAAGACACATCTGGAAGGTAGAACTGACAGAATGTACAAGGGACCAGACGTGGAGGGAGAGGAGGGAGAGGGGACAAAGAATGACTCGGGTATCGTGGCAGGAGCACAGGTGACTAGCAGTGCCTTGTCAGGCTCATGCAGTGAAAATCAGGGGTTTTATTTCGGGTTTAGGTTAGAGATGTCTGTGGGAAATCCAAGAGGAGGCGTATGGTAGGAAACTAGATGTGTGAGACCAGGGCCTGGAGGAGGGAAGATAGAAATTTGGAGGCCATCAGCCTGCGGATACTGTTCAAGCCATGGGACTGGGTGAGAGGATCCAGGCAGGAGTGTGGCTCGGGAGGGAAGGGAACCCAACTCTGATCTTTGTACAGGAAGACAGAGCAGCAAAGGAATGTGAGAGTTGCCACCAGGGAGGCAGGAGAAAACCATAAATTTAATCAGCATGTTCCAGTCAGTGCCAGGTCCCAGGGCATCCATAGATGAGGATAAATAATTCGATCAGCTCTTCAGACAGCTGTACTCTTCTGTCATTCCTGATGAAAATGTTCACCTTTACCAAATCACTTACCTGTCGGTGCGTTTTAGAAGCTACTATGTTACCTACTTTAAAGTCTTACCTTTGCTCCAGTGTCTCCCACTCCACGTAAGCCCATTGGTCCAGGGGGTCCTGGTAATCCTCGAGGGCCCTGAGATGACATAAGGGAGAGAGGGAGCAACCTCATTGTGTGCAGTGTTTCGTGAAGAAAGAAAGAAAAAGAGAGAGAGGAAGGAACAAAGGAAGGAGGGAAGGAAGAAGAAAGGGGAAGAAAAAGAGAAGGAGAGAGGGAGGGAGGAAAGGGAGCAAGGAGAAGGCAGGGAAGGGAAGGGAGAAAGGAAGAAAGAGAGAAAGGAGGGAGGGAGGGAGGAGATAAAAGCACTGTTCACACTTACAGGCACACCAGGATAGCCATCGCCTTTGAGTCCTGGAGCGCCCGCTGGTCCCTGAGAGCCTGGGGCACCCTGGATAAATTCCAACACCAGGAGATAGCGTAAGACTCAACTGTGAAACACCTGGCAAAACTTAAGCACAGTGCCGACTCAGTACGCCAAAGGAGGGTCTGATAAGTGCACAGGAAGGATTTTAAAAATTTGAGAAGGAAATCCTACCACATATGGCAACTCCTTGTCTCCTCCTCAGCCTTACCAATTTACATTGGAGAAGGCATGGAATGAAGGGAGGGATATGTGTGAACCATTGCAAGGTCTTCCATAGGAAACACACTTCATTAGCATTAGAAGAGGGCTAGTTGCTGATATTTTAATTTTAAAATTAAACATTTTCAGTGTATCATAAATCATGGGGAAATATAAAAAGGAGAAAATTTAGGAAGCATTGTGTGACAAAGCAAAGAATACACAGCAAAATTTTAAGTGTAAAGTAAGATAACTGTAGGTTACCTATTATGATGTTACATCTGTTCCTCAACGGGGCCCAAATTAGATGGGGAATAAATAAGCTCAAATAAAAATTAAAAACAGATTAATTGTTGAAAAACGAGTTATAAAAGGATAGGATACAGAGTTTGTGGTTCCTATCTTGAGACCTAGGGAAGAGTTAGAAATACTGCTTTACAGGGATGACCTTAGGAATCAAGAACTTTTAGAAGCAACTGCTGGCCTCCTATACAGAGGACAGGGAAGGAGGATTATTGCCTTTTGAACAACAGAGTTTTCTGAGCTGTGTAACTCTCTACAAATGGAAATCAGAGCACTTCTGGCTAAAGTAAAATGGAGAGAAAGAAAGAAAAAAATGAGAAAGACTCTTAGAAGAAGAGTTGTTACATATAAATTATAATCATATTTAAAACTTACTTCTTTTTATACCATATTTCCTTCTGTTACTGTGATGACCCTTACAATGGCCTTTGCCAGTACACATCAATTATTTTGATAAAGAGCTGCTCATGTTTTTAAATTCTTATGTTTTTTCACATTAGGAGGAAACTCTAATAATAGACCGTTGCTTTTCAAGACTGGAAAAAGTAGCAGGACTCACAATACTTGTTTTATAAGCAAGCAAACACGGAGATCAGCCCGCCATTATTCCAAGCCAAAATGTTGCCCAAAGTCTATCTCCTTAAAACTGTCCCTAATTCTACTTCTAAGAATGAATGATTGATTGGGGGGAAAAATTTGTAAGCCCTTTAAGCAATAAGAAACTTAAATTTCTGTTGAAACAGGAATCACTTTTTTTTCCTGTTAAAGCTAAGAGGCTAATTTCATGTGGCTAATCTTCTTAAGAATGAACTTCAGAAAACATATGCCCGTTTATAAAAACTTAATGTGTCATCAACAAAAGCCCAAGATGATCCCTTGAAGTTGTATGACAGCAAAAACCAAATTTTTTGGAGAGGTTAAATTTTGGTGTATCCCCCCGCAACCTCCCGCCCTCCCAGGGAACTGTCACTTCTCAGAAGCAACTCATTTTGCTATTCCAATTGTGCTTAAGGTTAAAACTCTGAACATTTCATATAGGGTAGGACAGGTCCCAAACTAAGATGCCCATTTCTCCCGCTGCTTACACAGGGAGCAGGCCAACATCAAAATAAAGCAATAACTGCTCCCTGGTTAAACTGAAAGGAAAAGGAAACTGAAATCAAGATTCACTCTCAGTTTTTCTTTCTAAATTCCAAGCCCATAACAGATTATCAGCAGCTGTTATTGTTTATCCTCTGGCACCTACACTGGGGGGGAGGACATTAAACCATTCATAGTTTACAAACATCTTTTTTCCTCGAGATCTTTGTCCTTTCTCCTGCCAAAATTGCAGTTAGCTCATTACTTCTAATGCTAATAGGAAATACAGGGGATGGGGATAGGGGCAGTTCTGTCTCAGATTTTCATTTGGATGCCTCACAATGCTTTTATAGGTGGAATTTTACCATTTGGCCTTTCTGCACTAGATTCAAGAAAATGTCTTGCAGCATGGTCCACTTTGAAGTGTCTCGCTCATTAAATAGAAATTCGGCTAGAGATCTTTATCAGGGTTTTTAAAATGGGCTTTTATTAAGGATCTGGGAGGTCCCTGAAGTAATACACAAAACTAAATTAATGTGCCAAAACTTTTATCAAACATTTAACCCTTCAAAAACTTAAAAAACAATGCATTAGGAAAGAATGGCAGAAACAGTATCATTAGAGGCCAAAGGATTAGAGATTTAGAGGCCAGAATGATTGGAGTGAAGAAGCCAATAATTTGAAATACCATCACCAACAATGCCCAATAATGATCAGTGGAAAATAGGGGGAGTTTATAAGCCCTGGTTGCACATTTAATTCGATTTTATTTCTATTGTAAAGATTAGTGCAAGTAGAAAGAAGTAACTTTAAATCATGGACCTAGGGATATACAGATTCAGGAAGTTATCAAACAATATGAAAATTGTCACCCAAAGGTTCTTGGTCAAGGTCATATCTGTAGTTTTAGCATTAGAAATTTGGAATCTTCCATGAGCCATACGTAACTTGAGTTTCCATAGAGTCTTTTCCATAGCTTGGATCCCTGTGTGCCTCAGAGTCTAAGGAATAGGATGACCATCCTGTTCTGGTTTGCCCAGGACATTCTCTGTTTTAGCTTGAAAGCCCCACATGCCAGGAACCTCCTCTGTCCCCAGCAAGCCAGAATATCATCACTCTAGAAAGGACCACTCTTAAGGCAATTAAGAACAATAGACGTTATAATTCCACCTCATCCTTCAAAAAGAACCACTCCAACTTATATCAGTATATAATAGGTTTGGCATTGTGTTTCAAAGGTGGTTCTAGGTTTTCTTATTTGAAGTTTGAAAATCACTGATGTTAGTACTTGAACCCTTTTATCTAGAAGAGACAATGTGATCAACTAAAGCCAGCTTCAAAGCTGCATAATAACATGCTACTGATTTAATAAGTGTGGTTGATGGAGCCCCGAAGCCTGTTTTCATAAACAGGGATGTGCTTGTTGACATATGGAATATAAAAATTTTGCTGTGATGCTGGGTTTTATGTGAGGAGGAAAATGGTACTTTGTTGCCATGGAAAAAATAGTAATGATTACTTAAAGCTGTCTTCTATAATCATTTGCATTTTCATTTAAAATAACTGAAAGATAGACAACAAAGCAGAGAAATCTGATTCAATAAAGTTTCCAAACATGAACTTTGGGGGCAATGTTTTGCAGAAGAGATACATTGGTCATTAATATGTAAATGAAGGAAGCTAGAGGCTGTGTAATTTCTTATATCACAGACATTACAAAAGGAGCATTTTTTATCAGCTGTTTAGTCAGCAAACATTTTACCACAGGAGCTAGCATCCCCTACATTTATGAAAAATAAATGACCTACTGGCTTGATTTTTTAAAAAAAAAATAGTGTATTCTCACATTTGAGTTCATCAACACAGAGACTCCAGGTAGAACAGTATCAGTCTTCAACTTATTCTTCATTAAATCTACTTTCACTTCTCTCACATACAGGAAAAAAAATAAATACAAGAACATGAATAAAGCATACTTTTGGTCCTCGAATGGCAATCCCAGGTTCTCCTTTAAATCCAGGTATCCCAGGTCCTCCTCTGTCTCCCTGCACATTTCAAATAATGTTCACAGTGTCAGGCTTTGGGGTGTAGGAGAAATCATAATGGCATGGAGCAAAAAAGTGATTGGCCAATTATAAAGAGCTTACTCTATTAGTCTCAGATCTAGAGAGAGTATACCTTTCTAATACATTTGAGGAGAATTTCAAATTAAGCAAATAAAAACTGTCAGTAAAGACTACTAGCTATTCAGAGAAAGGCCACTGAAATAACGGGTGGCTATCTAGCCTCAAATATTTAGACTGGGAAATGTCTAGAAGGGCTCTTAACTCTGAGTGAATTTCTTTTCTGACAGACTTTCTGATTAGCAGATTCTCCTGGATAGATGCAGTAAGTCCTTACATTCCTTAGGGTCTAGGATTTGAGTGGGGTGGTTCAGGTAAAGTGACAAGTTCAAGACCAGGAGCAAGAAATTGGTTTCTAACCTTACATTTGCTCCTGCTGTTGCCAGTAGGTATAACCAGTGTCCAGGTTCTTGTCCCGTCCCAGAAAGAATTCAGAGACAAGACAGGGAAGCTGAGAAAGTAAAGTGAGGATGTATTAAGGGGTAGATATGACACTCTCAAGGGGAGAGCGGACAGGCACAGGTGAGCTGCCCTGATTCTCTGGCAAGTTGGTTACATAGGGTGTAAAATGAATGGGGAAATATTCATTGCGGAAGGAAGGGTTTGGGGTTATATTGCCTGATTTTCATCCCACCTCCACCTTCCTGAAGGGAGGAGGGATTTTTGTCCTCATTTAGTCTTGATCAGAGGTGTCATAGTGTGCATGATGCGTGCTTCTAACTTGCAAGGCTAATTTTATTGAAATGAGGGCATAATGAGCAAAAGGTTACATTCAGACACTGGAGATTTCTGCCTTTTCGCACCTTTCTTTGTCAGCCTCCAGGCTGCTCATCACCCCAAAAGTTATGACCACTTATCAGCCCAGAGGTTCCTGCTTTTCTTTCTCTGCCCAGGGACCCCTGGTGCTTACATGATGTATGGTTTCCTGCATTTGGCCTGTGCCCCTCCTTTCTGCCCAATTCTGCCATTTGGCCTGCATCCCTCTTTCTCTGCTCACATCTAGCTATTTGCCTGCTCTAACACTGGCCTTTCGTCTGCTTAATTGTGAAACATCAAGGTTGAACTATATAATATCTTCGAATTCTTTCAGAACGAAAATTATAGGTCACTGGCTTCATGAATATTTTCCCCACTCCAAATGCCAAAGATCTAAGTAAAAGAAAAAAAATGCTCCCAAGAAGGCATACCTTTGGCCCAGGTGGCCCAGGAATTGATGTTCCAGGCATCCCAAAAGGGCCCATAATACCTGGATCACCCTTAAAAAAGATCAAAATACTCATTACATTTCAAACAAAGAAACCATATACAGGAATTATATTAGGAAAAATACGGAAATGTATTTCCAGCATTTTGAAGTATTCTAACCTACCTGTTTCACAGACCAACATGAAAATATTTCAGCATCTTTGTTAAACCACTATTAAAGTTATTAATGATTAAGATTTTAGTGCCTTTGATAAATGCATTCAATGAATTCCTGAATAATAGGAAATTTTTCTCTCTTATGCATCCTTTTATTAGCTAATAAAAATTATGCAATTCACCGTGATTCACTTATTGTGTTGTATGCCAGGAAGCTGAGAGGGAAACATTTGTTCTTTTATAAAAAATATCTTTAGTGTAAGTTTTGGGGTATACTTGGCAGATAAATAATGTTCCTTCTAGTTTATAACTTATTCCTTTGTTATCTTATTTTATGGCCCACAGTGTACAGGTCTTCCATTGTACGCTCTCACAACCCTTTTAAGAAATAGTTTATGGTTTTAAAAAAATGAAATTTTGAATAGAAAAATTAAAACATTTCTCAATTTTGTTTCGTTGTCTCAATATGAGTCTCAGTAAAGACTCAGTCTGGAACAACAAGCAATACCTCTGTCCTACCTGGTTCTAGACCAATGATTCTCAAATTTTAGGGAGTAAAGTAGTCATCAGGGAAATCTGGTAAAATACGGGGTTCAGGGTTTCAGCCCCAGAGATTTTAATTCAATAAATCTAGGGGCTGGGCCCAGGAATACACATTTTTATGAAACACTCCTTGTGATTCTGATACAGGTACCATTACCACACTTAAAAACATTATGCAAAGCAATTGTTTTTAAAAGAGGGTGGACACACCCCTCAGGTTGTTCAGAATAACCCATTTCGGATATCAGAAGAATATGTTAGGGCTACACTATAGCTTTTATCTCATTTTGCAAGATTTCAATTATTTATATAAATCTCATAACATATTCATATAATAGTTTGTGAATAAAAATTACAATTGAAAAATAAACCTATATGGGAGTGTGGTCAATTTTGTTTTTCTAGCGGGGATTTGTTATCAAGCAGTTTGGAAACTACTGATCTCGAGTAGGTCCTGCAAAGTGGGACCTATGGGCCAAATCCCAGCTTCAGCCTGGTTTTGCACCCCCAGGGCTAAAAACGGTTTCCACATTTTTAAATGATTGTTACACTGGTACCTACGTAATGTCCTCAACTTTGCTTCTTGGCCCGCAGAGCCTGAAATGTTTACTCCTTGTACCTTTACCAAAAAATTCACCTCCTCCTGCCTTAGAGAATGAACTATTCGGTCCTCCTACTTCCTCTAGGAAGGAACTCATTAATCAGAGTCACTGGTAATGGCTCCGCCCTGAGCCACATTCACCTTCACAGCTGAGGCCTCCCCGTGTGCTAACTACCCAATAGGACCAACAGGCTGAGCACACTGGCCCACTGGAGCCCAGATGATGCTAAGACACGTATAAGCCAGTCCTTAATTCCAAACCTATAAGGCAATGATAGGTGACATCTAAGATCCTGGCAACAGATAACTACCCAATTCAATCCTATGGCAAAGGAATAAAACAGTAACCTGTTAAAAATTTTCACTAAAACCAGGTTAAGCAAAATTATGCTTCTAGATTTAATCTATTCTACTTTTTTTTAAGAGGCCAATTTTAAAATACAAAGTTATATACATAGACAGTATACTTACTTAAAAACCCTTATTAAGATGTGATTATGTTTTAAAATATGGTAATCGTTTATCAAGAAAAAGCTTTATTTCAAAATACAGTAAAGTGTTCACTCTGAGTAGCAAGACATAAAGAGTAATCAGCATACCACACATTTCTTATATAATGGCTTTTCTTATTGTGTACTCTTGGAGCTACCTGCAGCAGAAGGCACTTATTTAAGAAATGGAGATTCTTGGGACCCACCCACATACCAAATCCAGGTCTCTGGGCAGGCATCAAGAAAGAGGCGTTTGTAACAAGCTCCAAAGCGATACTGATGGACACGGAAGTTTAACAATCACTGGTCTACAGGGGATGCTTTGTTCTGCACCTGCTCTTGCTGGTACCTTTCTTTTTTTTTAAGTTGTTCTTCAATAGTCTGGTCCTTGAACAGACTCCTTCTCGTCTCTTTCTTACAATTAACAACTTCCTAGAGATCTGAACTCTCTTATTGCAATCTCTGTTTCCTAACACATCCAGATGACCTCAATATTCTCTCTTGCTAAGTCAGGACACGTACCTAATTGCTTGCTTCACAACTTCCTGTACTTCTTCCCCTGCACCCTGTCTTGGGCTGTGTATCAGATATATATGCTCTGCTTTCCATTTTACAGTATTGATTTTTTCCCTCTGAATAACTCCATGTATTGAACACTCACTGGGTGCCAGGTACTGTGCTAAGTGCCTTATTCACTCTTTCAGTCTTCACAACAACCCTGTGAAATAGACACTACTGCTCTTTTCTATCTATGATTGGAGTGACTGGCTCCCTGAAAGTTCCAGGTTGGAGCAGGATGAGAATCCCACACTTCTGCCTCCTGAAGCCCTGCCCTCCATCCCCACCGCGCCACCTCTCAGTCTGGGACTTTGCTGTTGTTCAGCAAAACAAGATGATAGAGAATTGATATCTTCTATGTCCTAACTTTATTCCATCTTCTGAATATTTGGTTGTTACTAGAGAGGGCTGACACACAGATTCTCTCCTAGAAGCATTTAAGTACACCAATGAAAATCACATGTTTTATGCAATCTCTTTATTCCTCTCTATTACAGTCTGAAAGAGTATATTTTCTAAAGCCTTTTTCATTTAGGGGCTTTTGTTTTGTATTTGTTGAGAAAGAAACAGTGGAAATCTAATATTCCATTAAAACCAATACAGTTACAATCTCCCCAAAGCATAAATGAGAATATAAGAAACATACCTTTGGCCCCTCAGGCCCTGGAAATCCCCTCTGTCCCTGATTTCCTTTGCTCCCTTTTTTTCCTTCATCACCCTGACAAAAATAATTAGAAAAATATAGCTGTTGTAAGAGGCCCTCTTCAATCTTATAACAACCATACCATGGCCAGATTCTCAATGCCAAGTTTAGAGTGATATTCCCGAGCCCAGCTCAGTTACACAGGTTCATCAATGTTGCTGAGCAGACTGGATGACTTCAGAATTGTGCAGTCTTCACCATTTATTCAATATGATTTAGTATTTTTTAAGCTCTATTTTCAGCATCTTTCTTTGGGGATTTTTATTTGAATATAAAGTTCCTTTGCCCTCGCTTGATCTATTAAAAGAAGGTTCTGAGACATTCACAGTTTCAGAAAAGAGAGCTATCTATGCTTTTCATACTGTTTTTCAGCTTTCATGCTATTTCAGTTTTAAAACATAAAATGAGACATTTTTCAAATCCAGCCCCATTTCTCTTCCTCAGTGCAGTGTCTAGTTCTTTCTCCCAAAGGAGGCCAATAATGCAATTGGTAGAAAGATGAGTGAGTTTAGGCTGGGCAGAGCTAGAAATGGCCTACTGTCCCCAGCAGGGTTGTATATAGCAATGCTCCCCAAAAAGGATTTTGTTACCTTCAACCAGAAGCCTCAGAGCATTGCAAAACTATCTTTACACTAGCGCTTGACTGCAAAGCACCATATCTAAGTGTGTGGCCAGCTCAGTAAGGGAAGAACTCCTTGAGGCCATTCAATATTCATGACATAGATGACTCTACCACAGTTTTCAAGCCTGAGCATGCATCAGAATCACCTGGAGATGCTGGGCCCCAAATCCAGAGTTTCTGATTTAGTATGTCTGTATTGGAGCCCAATAGTTTGCATTTCCAACACACTCCCAGGTGATACTGATGCTGCTGTTCCAGGGACCACACTTTGAGAGCCACAGGACTATACCAAGGCCATTAGCAATGAAGGCACACCGCTATGAAGAAGAGGTAAATGCATGGACGTGTAATTAACTCCCTAACATGCATCCTGATGGAAAGTAGTGACAGAGGTAATTTAGGGAAAAACAGCTGAATGTCCAGATATCAATTATTGTATCATTACATTTGCCAATAGAGACAAAATCTAACCACAACCAATTATTTTCCCACTCACTGCCAAATTTAACTTATTGACCTAAATCGTCCCAGAAGCCAACAGTAGGAACTTAACTAAACGTAGTCAAGTGCCAGCACTGACCCAGTGCAATGCCTCAGCTATGTAACTTGTTCCTACCACTCTTCTCCCGCAACCTTCCGCCCCAGATCACTCCACACCACACATCTAGGCAGTGCACATTCTCCCTGCTGTGCTGCTGGTGTTCGACACCACCCATTGCTTTCCTCTTGAAGCCCTTTCTCCATAGTTCCCCTGACGTGGTACCATGTATTTTGCTCATTTTCGTGCTGTTCTGAGTGCTCTTTCTCAGCTACTGCAGAACGTGGTTCAAACCTTAGCTCTCTTTCTCAGAGATATCATTCAATCTCACTGCTTCAATTATTAACCCCAAGGGTCTATTTTCCAAAAGTAAATTCAAGAAAAAAACATTAATTCTCCCGAATGTTAATAGGCAATTATTTCTAAAATTATTTTTTTGCATGATGTTAAAAAAGGTATTCTTTGTTCACATTTCCACTCCTCACCCCACCCCCAAAAACAGATCTTATAGTCTTGTTAGTCAATGAATTAAAATGTTTGAACTTCTACAAGTATATTTAAATTTTAAATTCTCATATTTAAGGTTAATGACTCAGTTTTAGCCAATATTTTCACAAGACATAGACATCTTATACTATCAATTACTAATCTAATAGAATTATAAATAAGTATATGGAATTTATTTTTACTTTCTCATATATAACCCTTCAGAAGCTTTATATGGGCATTGATGACTGTATGTAAGATCTACAGGAACATCTGTCAATTTAGAGACTGTAGGTTATGTCACTAATGGTCTTAATGATGAATTTGCATATCTACATCTTGACATATAAAGACATTATTCAACTAGCATTTCTACAATCTGTAAAGTAAATTTATGCCATGTTGTGAAAGTGCCACTTAATAAGGTGATATTTCTTATTACTGTGTGAGATTGTATAAGTATTTGAAAAAAATGTGTGGATGTTCAAGTCTCAAGGATGTATCTCAAGGCTTCTTTTCCCTTCCTTTGTGCTTTTTAAATGTCGAGCTGGTTGTTTATTGAGAAAACACATGTTGAACTCTTTCTATAAGCTGCGTCTTATGACAGATGTTAGGAAAATAAAAATGAATAATACATACTTGAAAAGCTTGAACGCTAGTATCCATAAATTTAAGCCAGAAGTAAACAGCAAGAACAATAGTCAAATTTCTTCTAAGTTGATACCTTAGTATCAGGACCAGAATACAGGCAGTCCTTTCCCCCTAAACTTGATTCCATACCTTGAGGCCAGGTTGTCCTTTTCCAGGTGGTCCTTCAGGGCCTCTTATTCCTGGAAGCCCTGCTTCTCCCTAGAGAAAAATTACAATGATGTCTTAGCCAACCCTCCATAGGTAGTATACACCTCTTGTCTCTTCTTATGACCAGTAGATTTTCTGCTGAGATCCTCCAGAACAAAGCAGACCTTTATCTCAAAATCAATTTGGAAATTTATCAACTCGAATAAATTAATATTAAACTCTAGTTTAGCTCAGAGCAGCTGAAATATGAAAAAGTCCAATTTCTCAGCCAATTTCCAAAGCAGTCATCTTGCTTTCCTTTGGCTCTTCATTCACGTTTGGTGGTTTTTTTTTTTTTTTAAACACAAGAAAGACCTTCAGCCTTTCCATTTGCCATTTTTCACGACTTATATTGAAAAATGAGTATTTCAAATGTCAACTCACAACACTCTGGGAAATCTTTATAATGGCCTTACTTCCTAAATGCATTTATAGACTTTCCTTTTGGAGGGAAAAAGAAGTGTTTTACTCTGGGTTTAAATTAAGGTGCTTTCTAGGAATCTCAGAGGGACTAGGTCACTGGAGGACACCACGGCCAAAACACCAGAGAGGAGGCAGCAGGTGTGAGACACCACTCAGCCTTTGAATTGGCGCTCTTTCTATCTAAAGAAAGTGAAAAAGGAAATCCAGAGTGGTGGGATTTTTTTTTTCCTTAAAAAGACTAAACTTGTCTTAAATGGTTTAATTTGATCTCCCTCAGGGCAAAGATATAGTGTGGTTCAATAGTTTTAACTCCAATAACATGAAAAACAGTGTTACCTTCTTCCCTGCAGCTCCATCTTCTCCTGGTACTCCTGGCTGTCCCGGGAGTCCTGTTGAGCCTGGCTCCCCCTAGTGGATGAGCAAAAATTCTATTTTCCAGATGTTTGTATTTATCACACAACTCCATTTTGAGGTACTTGTAATTGGATATATCTTATAAAGTATGAAAAAAAGTCTATGAGCAGGGAAATCTTAATATATGAAAAAAGTCTATGAGCAGGGAAATCTTAATAGTAATCAGTAATCTTTAAACTATTTGACCCTGGGCAAGTTTGTTAACCTCTCTGGGTCTCAGTTTTGGGATTATGTTGTCTTGGGTTGAATTGTGACTCCCATAACCCCCCCCCCAAAAGATATGTTGAAGTCTTAACTTTTGGTAGCTGTGAATTTGGACCTTATTTGGAAATCAAGTTAAGATGTAATCAAGTTAAGATGAAATCATTAGGACTAGCTGTGCCTCCCTGCCAGCCCAGAGTCCCAGTCGCGCCTCCTGCCTAGGCTTCCACAGACGTCACCAAAATGCCGTCTCAAATGGAACATGCCATGGAAACCATGATGTTCACATTTCACAGATTTGCTGGGGATAAAGGCTATTTAACAAAGGAAGACCTGAGAGTACTCATGGAAAAGGAGTTCCCTGGATTTTTGGAAAATCAAAAAGACACTCTGGCCATGGACAAAGTAATGAAGGAGCTGGACCAGTGCCGAGACGGCAAAGTGGGCTTCTAGAAATTCTTTTCGCTAATCACCGGGCTCACCATTGCATGCAATGACTATTTTGTGGGCACATGAAGCAGAAGGAAAAGAAGTAGGTGGCCCTGAGCAAGTTAGTCCTGCCCCGATAAGAAGTCTCCCAAAGGGTCGCTTAAGGAAATCTGCCTCACAGCTTCCCCCTGTATAAGGATTTCCTGAGCAGATTGGAACCCTTAGAAAATGTACAAATAAAACCCATCTCCCCTTGGAGAAGCAGAGAAAGAAAAGCCAGAAAAGCTTTTGATTTTTATATTGCTTGCATCCGCTTGCCCTCAATAAACAAAATCCTTAAAAAAAAACCACCATGAAATCATTAGGATAGGTCCTAATCCAATCCTACGACTGGTGTCCTTACAAGAAGGGGAGAACATCACTGAAGACAGACACACAGGGAGAACACCATGTGACGACAGACACCAAGATTAGACTGATGTAGCTGCAAGCCAGGGAAGGCCAGGGACTGACCACCAGCAGAAGCTAAGAGGCAAGGAAAGGTTCTTCCTTATAGGTTTTGAAGAAGCATGGCCCTGTAGATACCTTGATTTTTTTCCTTCTAGCCTCCATAACTGTGAGACAACACATTTCTGTTACTTTAAGCCACTCAGTTTTTGGTAATTTGTGACAACCCTAAAAAACTAATATAAAAATGAAATGAAAAAGTTAGGACCCAACATTGCTTCCAGCTCTAATATTCAATAATTCTACTTGCTTTCAAGTTAATTTGTGATTATGAATAAGTCCATTAAAACATTCAGAGAAAACACATGCTACTTCCAGCAGTACAAAAGTGTCCTTACTGCATTTATTAAGAGCAAAAAAGATTTAAAATACTCTAAAGTCATTTCAACTAAACCAGACTTTGAAAACTAGTGGGAAAAAAAGCACAGTGAACCTAAAAATAAGTAGAAGGATATAATAAAGATGAGAGCAGAGAATGATAAACTTGAAAGCAAAAAGCAAGAGGACTCACAAAATTTAAAGGTAATAAATACTTAGAAATTAATAAATATAAATAAACGTCTAGCAGTAATGAGTAATATTTAAAAAGAAAAGACACAGAAATTTTATTAGGAATGGAAGGCGAATAAAACTACACACATAGTAAACATTTTTTAAATCATAGAAAATTTCTGTGATAATTTCAAAGAAATATATTGGAAAACATTAATAAATTGATACACTTTAAGAAAAATATAAATTAAACAAATGACATAGAAGCAATGAACAAGCTACATAAACCAAAATTCAAATAAATTGAATCAGTGATTCAAAGTCTTGAACTTCCTCTCCTTCGGATCACAGGCTTTGTTGGTTTTGCAGTCAAATCTTACCAAACTTTTAAACATTTGAAGAACAGACATTCCCTGTCTTATGCAAATAGTTCTGAAAAATAGAAAAAGAGGGAAGTCTACCCAATATATTTTATGAGGTTAAAAAAAACCCTTTAATTTAAAAAATCATACAATAACAAGACAAGAAAACCAAATTATAGACCAGTTTATCTAAGGAAAAGGATGCAACTTGAAGTTCTGGTCAAAATGGAGAAATAGGGACTTGATTTCATTTCCCACCTGATGCAACTAAAAAAAAGCAGACAAAATATCTGAAACAATGACTTTCAAGACATTAGACACCAAGTGATGAAGGATAATAATCCCTGAGAGAGGTGAAACAAAATAGGCAAATGCTATAATTTCCCAAGTTTACTGCCTGGATAAAGATTCCAGTCCACAGTGCAGGGAGAGAGGATCCAGGGAAAGTTCAAAAGTCTCTCTAATTTAAGGAGACAAAGGGGAGAGTCTGGGCAAGCCCAAGTGTCAGAAATTCATAAAGTAGATTACCAGAGAGGAAGAAGTGACATGGAGAGAACTTTGAAGATCTGCTGAGCATCCCCCTGGAGGCATCAAGTGAATACTGTTCAGCACAGAGTGAAGAAACTTCCCCGGGCCAGGAAGACAACCCATTTAAAGGATTAGAGAGAACTGACAGCACATAAGATACAGTGCCTGCTCCCAGTGGCAAGAAAGAAAACTTCATCGTTCTGAAGGCAATGATTAGAGTTCTAAAAAGGGTCTTGCCTCAAAAGTGGAGAAAAAATTAACCCTAGACTAAATGCTGCTCTTTTCCTACCTAATAAGCTTAAAAGCAAGAACAAAAGGCTCAAAATGTTTTCAAGTAACATAGAAGCATCTAAGAACAAAGCTTAAAAATATTTATAGGAATACAAAAAAAATCTAGCACCCAAAAAGGTAAAATTTACCTTTTTGACATCTAATCAAAAATTACCAGGGATTCAAAAAAGCTGCAAAAACTGACCCAGAAAATTACAGGTGAAAGAGTTCGTAGGTAAGGACATTAAAACAGTTTTCATACTGCATTCCATATGTTCAAGAAACTAGAGAAAAGTTAAAACATGTTAAATAGAGACATGAAAGATACAGAAGGACATAAATTGAACTTCTGGAGTAGAAAATTGCAAACTATGAGATTAAAAAATACACTGGATAAAATTAAAAGCAGATTAGCTATCACTGACAAAAAGATCAATAAACTGAAATATATAGCAATAAGCTCTATCCAAAATGAAACACAGAGAGAAAAGAGACTGAAAAAGAATGAGCAGAGATTCAGTGAACTGTGAAACAACTTCAAGCATTTAAATTTAAAGTTGGAGTTCCCTGGGTGAAGGTTGAGGGCGGAAAACAGTTCAAGAAATACTGGCCTAATATTGACAAAATCAGTAACTCACAGATCCAAGAAGATCAATGAATTCCAAACACAAGGAATATGAAGAAAATAGAACTAAGGCACATTGTAATCATATGGCTCAAAACCAGTGATATGGAGAAAATCTCAAAAGCAGATAGAAGGAGAAAAAAGGAAAAAAAGCTATCAATCTAGAATTTCAAACCCAATGAAAATATAGACAGATGTTTTTGGAAACCAATTCGGCAGTTTCTTGAAAAGCTAAACAGATACTTACCATATGACCCAGCCATTTTACTGCTAGGTATTTACCAAAGGAAAATGAAAACATGTCTATATTAAGATATGTACACAAATGTTTATAAGATCTTTATAATATCCAAAAGCTGGATAAAATCAAAATTTCCATTAACAGGTGCCTAGATGAACAAAGTGTGGTATATTCATACAACAGAATACTATTCCGACATGTTAAACATGGATTTCAAAATAATTTTGCTGAGTGAAAAAATTGCAGGAAAAAAGCATATATAGAATATTTTGCTATTTATTATAAAATTCTAGGAAATGCAAACACATCTATGATAACAGAAAGCAGAGCAGTGGTTACCAGATGATTGGAAAGCAGATCTGTGGAAGGCAGATCAATAGAGAAAGGAAATATTAGGGAGGGATGAAAGGATGGAATTACAAAGGGACATATCATAACTTTAGGGGGTGATAAATGCTGGTATGATCTTAGTTGCAGTGATGGTTTCAAGAACCGTCAAGAACCATATGGCAAAACTTATCAGCTACACTTTAACCATGTGCTTTCTTTTTTATCATTCAATAAGTAAAATTATTTAAAGTGGATGCAAAAATTTGGAATAAAAGATTAGTCAATGTAATTATTATTATAAAAAATTATACATCACAGTCGAATTTACCTCAAGAATGCCAGGATGGTTCAACATCTAAAAACTCTGGAAGTGTAATGTTAATAGATTAAAAGGGAAAAACAATACAGGTAGTAGATGCAGAGTCTAATAAGATCCAATATTCATTCAACTTTTGGTACAGTTGAAACAGAACCTAATGGAGAATATCTATCAGAACCCTACAGCAAATGACACACTTAAAAGTGAAATTTTAGAAGCACTTCCTCTGAAGTCACTTCACTGCACTGAAGATCCTACCAGTGTAAAATGATAAAAAGTGAATAAGAAATAGAACTAAAAAGGAATAGGTAAAACTTTATTTTCAGAGAACATGATTATGTACAGAAGGTGTAAAAAATCAAGAGACTTTACAATTAGAAATAATAAGAGATTTTATCAAGTGGCTGCATACAAAAATCAGTATACCAAAACAAAACAAATGACAACAAAACAATGCTTTTCCTATAGACTTGTTACAGCTAACTAGAAGGTACAGAAATAGAAAACAATCCACATTTGCAAAAATTTCTCCAAGTTACCTTTTTAACTAAAAAAAAAAAAAGAAGAAGGAGAAGAAGGAGGAGGAGATCTTTATGGATAAAATGACAAATATTTTACTGAAAAATTAGTTTAAACCTGTGGTTTGAAAGACTCAATATTTAACCTGAAGACAGAGAGGTGATAGCACTGAGAGACAAAAATAAGACAAGTGGATCTGAACAGAGAGCTCAGCACTGATTCTCACAAATATAGAAACTTGATATATGACATGGGAGGTACTACAAATCAGTGTGGCGAACATGAACTGTTTAATAATTAATGCTGGGATATTTGGTTATTCCTACAGGGAAAGAACACATCCCTACATTACCCCACCCACAAAAATAAATTCTAAGTGGATTAAAGATCTAAATAAAAAAAGTAAAATACCAAAATTTTCATAAGAAAATACTTAAGAATATGTTAGGAGTCAAGAAATATTTTAAAATAATATTCCCAAAGCCCAAATCATAAAGGGACAGAAATACATCAAAATCTAAAACTTATGTATACTGAAAAGTGCTCTAAGTAAAGTGAAAAAGACAAGCCATAACCTAAGATATTTGCAACCCAAATAACAAAGGACCATTATCCAGATACATAAAGAACTAGAAATTAATAAGAAAAGGACACCCAACATCCCCCCAAAATGAGTATCTACAGAAATTTACAAAAGAGAAAAACTGAGGTCCACTTAGGCACACAAAAACTGTTCAGTTATGAGGGAATAAAAACTGAAACAATGAGATATATTTTTACACACTTCATATTGGCAAGAATGTAGAGAAAAGAGCATTGTCACCTGTTGCTAAAAGGAGACTAAATTGGTCCAAACATTTTACTCATTGTCTGTTCCAGTGTCTGGAAAATTCCCTGCGATCTTCCAATTCTGCTTATAGCAATCTATCCTCTGCTAGTGAGAGAGACATGTATTCTTACTCAAGAGGAAACTCAGAGAATGTTTATGGCAGCCTTGTTGGCAAGTGCAAAGAATGGAAAGCAATTTAAATGTCCATCAATAGGAAAATGGATAAATTTAAATGAAATATTTTCATATAATATAGTATCATAGAGCAAATAAAATGGGTGAATCAAAGGCATAAAAACACAAATAACACATAAGGCTAAATATAAATAAAATTGCTGAATGATATATTATGGAACGTTCAAGAATATAAAAAAGCAATATATGGTTTATGGATAAAAACATGTGGGAAAATTATACAAACTTTGAAAGAATGATAAACAGCAAATTTATGGGAGGGAGGGCAATAGGATTCGGGGCACAGGCAGAGACCTCTAGCTATGTCTATAATGCTGCTTCTTAAATTCTAGAATGAATGTGGCAAAAAGTTAATATTTGATAAAGTTAGGTTGTGGAAAACATGGGTGTTCTTTGTTATTCTCTACAGTAATGAGTATGTTTTAAATATTTCATTTTTTAAAGTGAGAGAAGCTGAAGATTTTACATCTATTTAGTGCAAAACTGGGATTTGAATGTAGGTAGTGTCACTGCTGGACCTGCTGCTCTATATGGCCTCTCTGAAACTGGCATATAGATGACACAGTGTGTTTGTGTACATGCGTGTACTCCAGACGTGTACAGATGTGAATATAGTGTGTATATATGTAGATACACATGTACACATACTTAGCATATTTAGCACTTAGCACATCGTGTGACTACACCAAAAGCATCCAACGAATGGCCACTATTATCACTGTATTAGTACATTTTGTATCTCTTGCAATCATATGTGTATGTATATGCAACATGTATATTCGTCTTAGACCCACAGCTTACATATTCTTCTAATACCCAAGTTCTCATAAGGATCACGACAATGCCAGTAGAACAATCATGGATTTTCATCCTCAGCATGGCTTCTAGATCCTGTATGCCTTCAGGATGAGTTATAGAAATTGTGAAGGGTAAAGAAAAGATTCATTTATTTATTCAACAGCATTTGTTGAGTACCTACTGTGTCCCCAAACTGGGGTGAATCATAAACAGGAAAAAAAGTATACAAGGTCCCTGCCCCAGTGGAGCAGCACTGTCCAACAGAAATATAAAGCAAGCCATACATGCAATCATAACTTTATTAATAGCTACATTTATAACATTAAAAGATGAAAACAATTCTAATAATATGTTTTACTTACTCCACTGTATCTGAAATTTATCACTTCAACATGTAACCTATATACAAATGTATTAATCACCTTGTTTACATTCTTTTTTTGTACCAAGCTTTGCAATCCAGTGTGTATAGTACACTGACAGCACATCTCAGTTCATACCAGCCACGTGTCAAGTATTCAGTAACCACATGTGGCTAGTGGCTGCTCTACTGAACAGTGCGTTTCCGGAGGGTATAGTGAGATGAAAAGTCATTCAAAAAACATGCAAGTTGAGATAAGTGGTAAAAGCAAGGGAAACAAACAGTGTGCATTTAAAAAATTGGGTAACAGGAGTGGAGTGGACAGACTTTAGATTTTAGAAGTGACTTTTAAAGAAGTAGCTTTTAAGCTAAGATCTGAAAGATGAGAAGGGGCCAGCCACAGAAGAAGGGAAGTGACCTTTCCTGAAATCCTGCTGTGCTTTTATAACACGGCAGGCAATAACATGTTTAAAGAATCAGTCGGTGCTGAAAGAGGACTTACTTCTGATACTAATCAATAAATAACCAAAAAAGTCATCATTAAAAGAAACTAAGATTTTGTTTTTTCTTAAATGATAAGAGTTAAGCATCAGACTCTTTTCTGAATATTCAGAAATCAGTGAAATAACATTTAGATGACACATACATGATCTGTATTGCATTTGGGTATAATGAAACTTTACATAATGTTACCTAAATTATCTGAACGCTTCTAAGCAGCTTAGTCAACTCACCTTTGGACCTTGTACTCCAATTCCCACTGGTCCTCTAGGACCTGTAGGTCCTCTCTGCCCTACTTCTCCCTGGGAGGAAAGAATATTTGATTATAGCAGCAAAAGAAAAATAATATATTCCTACCTTTGACCTCCTAAGAGTAAAATATATCAACAAAATAAGATAAAACTGAGTTTTATGTGCTCCATTCACATGTGTGTGTGTATATATATATTCAAATATAAATACATATCAGATATATAGTTCAGGCAGACATATATTTTTATTTTATATGCATACACACACACACACATATGCACACGCACATGCACACATACATATGAATGTATATATGATCTGGCTTGAAATATAGGTGATGTAGCATACTCAGAATTGACTTTAAGGAGCCCCCAAGGAGGGTACCTGAAAAAGATAGGCCGTTATATTCTAGAACAACTAAAATTGACACATGAGAAGTCAGGGTTACTGCTGATCAAAAGCAGTAGCATAACCAGAGAGAACAGCCTGAGCTCCGCTTGGAAATCTCACGGACTCTCACTGTCCTCTGCTGAGCTGCATCTCACATGGGAGTCTCTGACAAGTGTGCTGAAAGATGCATACTCTCAGAGAAGTTATTTAACAGTGATTAGTGATTCTTTGCAGCAACGTTAAGGACAGCTGGTTAAATAGTAAGTGTCATGCCTCTCCCCCAGGGATAAACAATTGTTCCAATTCAGAAGATAATTTGATTCCCAAGTTCATAGAAAAATTTTGTTAGATTATTTCTGACTCCGTATCTTTATCTAAACATTTTTATTGTTGGACCTACCGTGGTACATTGGTGAAATGAAAACTAGCCAACCCACAGGCAGCCTCTATTGCTATTACTGCTTGAGTTGCTAGAATAGGGTCTCAGAAGTAAAAGTACTGAAAACAATACGTTAAGACTGTGTAAAGATAGTCCATCCTCCTCAGTAGCCACAGGTTCTGCATCCATGGATTTGAAACTGAGTCCCCATAGAATCAAGTTCTTCTGCCGAGTTTGTGATTAACTTCTCTATCCTAGACTTTTTATTCTCTTTCTTGTCTGCCCCTGTTCCCTCAGGAATGAGGAGTATCAGAGAAAAGAGGGGACTGAAACCAAGCAGGACCCTGCGGGGCCCTCCTGGGCACAAACGCCCCTCCTTTCTCCTCTATTTCTTGTTTGTAGAAAAGGTTTTAGTCTTCTAGGCCTTCCCAGCATTCCAATGAGCAGGCACATGCAGTTACTAATTAGGGAAGTGAGGGGATGCAGAAACAAAGGAAAGCAGTCAAGAAAGGGAATGACAGTAGTTCAGTGATAAAACAGAGTCCTAGTTCCTCCTCAAGGGATAGACATAACCATCTGGCAGATGTATTTGAGCTGTTCTTCAGGAACTAAGATCCCCCCTTCCCCAACTGCCTCTTGTTTGTAGAAGAAGCTTGGCATCTCTGCCTGCATATTATACCTGTCTCTTCTGCTGCTTTAACCTCTGCATCATATGTCTCTGCCTAGTGCTAAATGATTCTGCTTACAGATTTAAGATTTGTGCAAATAGTCCCTTACCCGAACCTAGCTTCCCATGGGGAGATAAGGAAATATGAACAAAAATAACAATTGTCAAGATTTAGGAATATCAGGACCAGACTCAGTTCAACCGAAGTCAACTGACCAAGAACAAAATGTCCTCACAACTCTCCTCAGACCCTTGCCCCTTGCTGGCACTCAGACATCTGAGGTTGACTGTCACTGCTTGGCCTTAATTCTCTCATCTTTCCCCACTCCCTAGCATGAAAGAAGCTTGAATTTTACCCCAAACTAAGGTTCTTTAGGGCATTAGTGTGCCATCTTCTTGGGTGGCTGGCTTTCCAAAGGAAGTTGTTTTTCCTTGCCCCAACACCTTGTCTCCTGACTTATTGGCTTGTCGTGCAGGAAGTGGTCTGAGCTTGGACTTAGTTACAGATTCATCCAACCTTAGACGAAAAGTATCCAGGGAAAATATTCTAAAAAGTACCAAAATCAAGACCTGAATTTGCCGCATGCCAGTAACTATTTACATAGCATTCACATTGTATTTGGTATTATTAAGTTATCTAGAAATTGCTTTAAAAATACAGGAGGATGTGAGTAGGTTATATGCAAACCATTTATATAAGGGACTTGAGCAACCTTAGCTTTTGGTGTGGGAAAGGGGTGGGAGTCCTACAGCCAGTCTTCTGCAGGTACAGGGGGATGACTGTGAACACTTCTAAGAGCATAAAGAAAACATATTACATTTTCTAAACCATTATGGATATCAGTAACATTTTGCATTAAGCAGAGATCTCTGGTTTTTAAGTTCATCTCCTCTGCTGCCTTCCAATGCACTGGTCACTGACCAGAAAACACCAGTTAGAACATAGGTAGATTAAACTCTGCTCTCATTTAGAAAGTTACCTTGGAACCAGGTAAGCCTTGTCCTGGGGGCCCTTGTGGACCAGGTGGACCAATGGGACCTTGGATTCCCTTTAAAATAAAGTTTAAAAAATAATATTAGTGTAATTAAGAAGAAATTTGGGTAAGAATAGTTTCAGATCCTATAAAATAAAAGTTTAGTCAACAACCCATAATTGATTACTTATTTCTGGTTCATAGTAAGGGAAGCCTTCTTCCCTGTTCCCCTCTGCATGGCTGAAGTGGAGACCTAGTGACTCTCCTGGACCATGTGGATGAGGGCAGCACCCTTGGAAGGGCAAATCAACAAGAATGAAGAAGTCTGAACCTCTGAAGACCCTGATGAACAGAGCCAATACACCAGCTTGGAGTTATAAATAAGAGAAATAAAAATTCTATCTTATTAACCGATTTCAGCTCTCAGTCACACGCAGGCAAATCTATATCCTAGCTGTACCAAGTGATACTTCTCAGGATGTTACATTGAAAATTCAACCGAGGCTCTAAGAAGCTATAGCCTGCAGACACCAAACTGAAGAATGGTCTGACACTTGACTCTCACTCACACTGTGAGTATAAAAAAGGGAAGAGACAGAGCTTGATAAGGTCTTCTGGAGAAAGCAGTTTCATAGAGTATTGGAGAAAATGAGAGAGTTGCTTTTCTCTTTACCACATTCTAGAAAGGAAACATCAGTGAAACCAGCTGGAGACCTTGATTTTTGTGTTCGGGACACAGTGGGCCAGCGTCTGACTCGTGCCTGACAAAGCTAAAATGGGCTGTGACAGCCCAGAGAGGGCTGGGGTGGGATCAGCCTGTGCAGCCAGAGTTTGTCAGTGCAAAGGCCACACGAGTTATTTTTCTGTGGGCCAGATGTACTCTAAATGCCTGGAGCTGACCTGGAACTGTTCTGAATCCTGTCCAAGAGGACCTGAAATAGTAATGGAACTCCAACAGAGAGAGTCAGCATGGAGTAAACCCCCAGAAAAGCAGAGGCTGATGGGGAGAAACAGCTGGAAGAAGAGAGTCCTTCATCCGTGTCCCAGGAGGGGCAGCCGCAGGGGCAGTGCAGGCGCCCCACCAGGAAGTGTAATCATCAAACATCTGCCAAGACCAGAGGACCCAAAGCCCGCCAACAAGAGAACAGCCAAGAACGAACCTCTGTGCCCTCCCCCCATCCTCCCACCCTTGATTCAGCCTGGGAGGCATAAGAAGCACATTCGACCCCATGGACCACAGGCTGTCCCTGCATCTCACAGCAGATGAATGAAAATTAAAAGGAAGATTAATCATTGACTAGATAGTTTTTATTACAAGATTGAACCTGTGATTTGAAACTGAGAGGTAACCCTATAACTTGCTATTACCTAAAAGTGATAAGAAAAGTCAATAGCCTGCTGGTAATTTGTTTCCATGGCAAGAAAAAGAAAAAAAAATTTCCTCACTGAAAAATATTTGAAGGCATGATGAGAGACATAATAAGATTTTCTTTTGTTTTCACCCCACAGGTCATGATGGTGCAAGTAATGGTTATAGATTCATGATTATTTTATCACAAATGTTGTCTCCAGTTATATGATACAATTGCTTATTCATTTTTTATGCTTATTCATTTTTAAATGACAGATATTATTCCCCTTTTCTCTGGTTGATGAAGATGAAGCAGTCTAAAAAAATTTAAGGAAGCTAAAGTTTAGTGTAAATATTGAGTTATCATAAGAAGAAATTCTTCCTGACTTTTACCGGTGTCTACAAGTCGCATGCAAGTAACCCCAAAATTCAAAGGTTATATGTGCATGCATGTGGGTACACATGGATATGTGATTATTTATATTTCACTTTACTTAGTAAGAGATTTGAAGTAGTCAGGCCCCCAAATACTTAGTGAAAATCTGCAGGCCACTTGTGGGATATTGAAAACATGTTGCTGGAAACAGGAGTTCCCCTAGAAACCGCACTTGGTCATGATGTATAATCTGTTTTATGTGCTGTTGGATTCTATTTGCTAATATTTTGGTCAGGATTTTTGCATCTATGTTCATCAGTGATATTGGCCTATAATTATCTTTTTTTATAGTGTCTTTGCCTGGTTTTGGTATCAGGGTGATGGTGGCTTCATAGAATGAGTTTGGGAGTATCCCCTCTTTTTCACTCTTCTGGAAGAGTTTGAGAAGGACTGGTATGAATTCTTCTTTGTATGTTTGGTAGAATTCCCCGGTGAAGCCGTCTGGTCCTGGACTTTTATTTGTAGGGAGATTTTTTATTGCTAATTCGATTTCACTTCTAGTGATCGGTTTGTTCAAGTGGTCCGTTTCTTCTTGATTCAGTCTTGGTGGACTGTATGTTTCCAGAAACTTGTCCATCTCCTCTAGGTTATCCATTTTGGTTCCATATAGTTTTTCATAATATTCTCGCATGATATTCTGTATTTCTATGTTATTTGTTGTAATTTCTCCATTTTCCTTTCTTATTTTGCTAATTTGTGTGCTCTGTTTTTTCTTCTTTGTGAGTTTGGCCAGAGGTTTGTCAATTTTATTTACTTTTTTTAAAAAAAAGCTTTTGGTTTGATTGATTTTTTTCTATTGTTTTTAAATCTCTATTTTATTTATTTCCTCCCTGATCTTTATTATTTCTTTCCTTCTGCTGACTTCTGGGGTTTTTTTGCTCTTCTTTTTCTAATTCTTTTAGCTGGTGAGTTAGACTGTTTATTTGAGATTGTTCTTCTTTTTTGAGGAAGGCCTGCATTGATATAAACTTCCCTCTTAGCATTGCCTTTGCTGCGTCCCATAAATTTTGTGTGGTTGTGTTTTCATTTTCATTTGTCTCAAGTTATTTTTTAATTTCAACTTTGATTTCATCATTGACCCATTGGTTTTTTAATAGCATGTTGTTTAATCTCCATGCTTTCCTTTTTTTTCTCCTTTGTTTCTCTGTAGTTGATTTCTAGTTTCATGGCTTTGTGGTCATTAAAGATGCTTGAGATAATTTCTATCTTCTTTCCCCTAGAAACTGATGAGTGGGAAAATTAATTTCTGTAAGAGAAATGGAAAGATCTAATAACAGTAATCCAGTGGGGAAACATGTAAAATAAAGGATAAGAAGAAAAATGAATAACTGCCTACAGAGAGGTTAAATTTAAGTAGAATTTAAATCATTTATCTTAAAAAGGTAAACAAATTCTTTTCTTGTTCAGAGCAGTTTACAAATAACACCTTCTATTAAATTTCCTATCCAGTAGGGATTGGCTCCATATGATCATGTGTACCTTGAAAGTTTTTTTTCTTGGAAAAAAAGAGAAGTGGATGAGAAAATAAAAGAAGTCAAAGAGGGTTTTGTTGGGTTTTTTTTTTCCAAGCTGAAGAACAAGAACTTCTATCAAAAAACAGCATTAAAGCCAACAGGAAGTGTCAGGTGGGAGGTCCAAGATTCACAGGCCATCTGGAAACACTTGGCTTTCTTTGAACCTCATTTTCAGCCCCATAGTGGTGACTCAGCACCAGGAACACCATAAGACCCAGGATGTGACAGTACTGTCCAGCCACTTCTGGAATCAAAAACTAGCTGAAGTTATTTTGCAGAAACTAGCAAATAAACTGCAAAGTTTTAGAATGCCTGGGGGTATAGTCAAACCATGATCCTGTGTAGTCCCTCCCCTCAAAAAAACAGCTCTTAGTTACTATTTTTTTTAATTGAAGTACAGTCAGTTATAATGTATCAATTTCTGGTGTACAGCATAATGTCCCAGTCATGCATATATATACATACATTTGTTTTCATATTCTTTTTCATTAAAGGTTATTACAAGATATTGAAGATAGTTCCCTGTGCTGTACAGAAGTTGTTTGGTTTTTTTTTAATCTATTTTTACATATAGTGTTTAACATTTGCAAATCTCAAACTCCCAAATTTATCCCTTCCCACCCCCTTTCCCTGGTAACCATAAGATTGTTTATCATGTCTGCAAGTCTGTTTCTTTTGTAAATGAGTTGATTAGTGTCCTCTTTTTTCTTTCTTTTCTTTTTTTTAAGATTCCACATATAAGGGATATTATATGGTATTTTTCTTTCTCTTTCTGGCTTACTTTGCTTAGAATGACAATCTCCATGTCCATCCATGTTGCTGCAAATGGTATTATTTTATTCTTTTTATTGCTGAATAATATTACATTGTATAAATATACCACAGCTTCTTTATCCAGTCATCTGTTGATGGACATTTAGGCTGCTTCCCTGTCTTAGCTTTTATAAATAGTGCTGCTATGAACATTGGGTTGCATGTATGTTTTCGAATTATGGTTACTTCTGGATATATGCCCAGGAGTAGGATTGTTGTATCATATGGTAAGTCTAGTTTTAGTCTTTTGAGGAATCTCCATACTGTTTTCCATAATGGCTGCACCAAACTACATTCTCACCAGCAATGTAGGAGGGTTCCCTTTTCTCCACACCCTTTGAGCATTTACTGTTTGTGGGCTTTTGAATCATGGCCATTCTGACTGGTGTGAGGTGATACTTCATCATACTTTTGATTTGCATTTTTCTGATAGTTAGCAATATTGAGAATTTTTTCATGTGCCTATTGGCCCTTTGTATGTCTTCACTAGAGAATTGCTTGTTTAGGTCTTCTGCCCATTTTTGGATTGGGTTTTTGTTGTTGTTGTTGTTGTTATTAAGTTATATGAGCTGTTCATATATTCTGGAAATTAAACCTTTGTCAGTTGGATCATTTGTGAATATTTTCTTCCATTCTGTAGGTTGTTGTTTTGTTTTGCTTATGGTTTCCTTTGCTGTGCAAAAGCTTCTAAGTTTAATTAGGTCCCATTTGTTTATTTTTGCTTTTATTTCTATTGCCTGGGTAGACTGTCCTAGGAGAACATTGCTAAGATTTAGTCCGAAAATGTTTTGCCTATGTTTTCTTCTAGGATGTTTACAGTGTCTTATGTTTAAATCTTTAAGCCATTTTGAGTTTATTTTTTGATGGTGTGAGGGAGTGTTCTAACTTCATTGATTTATATGCTGCTATCCAGTTTTCCCCACACCACTTGCTAAAGAGACTGTCTTTTCTCCATTATATATTCTTGCTTCCTTTGTCAAAGATGTATTGATCATAAGTCCGTTGGTTTATTTCTTGGCTCTCTATTATGTTCCATTGATCTGTATGTCTGTTTTTGTTCCATGATCGTGCTGTTTTGATTACTGTCCAGCTCTTAATTATTACCGAAATATTTATATACAGATTTATCTTGGCTTCTCCTGTACCTTAATCCTCTTAATTTGTAACACATATTATACTATAATATATACATTATAGTATATACTATAATATATATATATAATATGTATTATACTGGGACCTCTACCAAGGGGAAGGAAATAGAAAAAGGAATAAGATCCCACTTGACTGTTGCTTGGATTAACAGCAAAATTTCTAATTGATTAGAATATGGTTAGAAATAAACTCAGAGTTAATGTCAACAGTGAGATTTAGAATTATCTTTTTTATCCTTCCTTTCTCACACTATGCTAGATAAAGGAAGTACTATTTGCTCTCTAAGCAACAGAATAATTCAAACCTTAATCATCAATTTTAATCAAACTGATTTGCCACTTTCTATACAGAAGGACATCCAGAAAAAATTTCGATTTGTTGGCCACTTTGATTAAATAAGATTATGTAGGGAGATGGTACTGTTATATTATCTTCATATTATTTTGCCCTAACAAAGTTACCCAGCTTTTTCAAGTTATAGTCAGAAGATTTTGGAAGCAGTTCAGCCGTAAATGTAGAGCCATCCTCAGAGATTTTTTTTTTGACCAAGAAGGGCCAAGAGTCATTTATAAACTTTATCTGTGCTTTGCTTCTATTCAGGAATGATGCTCCTTCAGTAAAGTGGTTGCCTCTGATTCTGGTCCTTGTTTTAAGTTGAATACTTTTCCAGATTGATATATGGGTAGGGAAATACTACTCTATTAGCATTAGAAAAGAACGGGATATCATCATTCACAAAGCCTCAAGGGGAAAAACACACACAATCCAACAAGTAAATAAACTATCATTCCCAAGGGAAACTAAATATATAATATATTTCTCCAAAACTGTTATTCTGTTAATTAGGCTTTAATGTTGAAAGTCACAGCACCGAGAAACACACAAATTATTTTTTAAGTCTTTGGAAGTTCTAAAGACTAAAATCTCATGAAACCATCTCATCCTTCCCTACATGCACTTTTTGATATGTATTCCATTGCAATTTGACTATCAAATATATGCACAGCTGTTTGCGGGACTGGCCTTCAGTGAACACCAGGATTTGGCCAGAACGTTCTGTACCAAAGAGAAAGAGAGAAGGCATTGATTACCTGTTCCCCTTGACTCCCGATTCCAGGGATGCCCATTGGTCCTTGGGGTCCCACAGGTCCCAAATCCCCCTGTATAGAAAATAAGTCAGAAATATAACAATAAAACTGAACTTCATTTTTTCATACTTTATTAATCTTGAATTATGCTGGATTAAAATCTGTCTTTACACGATAAAAAAGTTCAATACAGAAAGTCAGAAAACATCATTCTTTTTAAATAGTTTATAGTTCAAATTTGCCAAAACAGTGTATGATGTTTTCACTAGTCTGAATTGGTGAAAATTTGCACTAGCTTATATTTATCATTCATTTTTCTCTCAAGAACCAAAAATTCCTGAATAGTTATTATAATGACACAAACACTTCTGTTAGGATCATAACAGAAATATGTAAAAGTATTAAATTCTTAGGATACAAGAAAATCAATATTTGAGAGAGAAATTAAAGAAAATATTTTTAAATTTTCTAATTTTTTCTCTAAATCTTACTAAAATGCATTTTAAAAATTAAGAAATTATCTAAAATAAGTGCAACAAAATTGAAGACCCTCACTTTCTCCTTCCATGAAATAAATTTGGGGAACAAAGTGAGAGTTATCAGGAAGAATGACAGTATCATTCATCCATTCTTTGTGTCTTTCAACAAGTGTTTGTTAAGTTCCAAACATGGGGAACTGTTCCAAACGTAGGGAAACAGCAGCGACCAAAACAGCCCAAAATCTCTATCCTCATAGAGCGTTCATTTTTGCAGGGGAAACAGAAGATAATAAACAAGATGGACAGATGAAAAAAAACAGTATGTTGAATAATGGTAAGTGCTGAGAGAGGGTACAACTCAGTGGTATCGCACATGCGCATGCTTAGCATGCACGAGGGTCCTGGATTCAATCCCCAGTACTTCCATTTAAAAAAATAATAATAATAAGTGCTAAAGAGAAAAATTAATCAAGGAAGGGGGAGATAGCTGCAATTTTGGATAATGTAGCCAGTGATGGCCTCACTGATGAGAGGGAATGAACCAGGTAGAAGCTGGGAGGGAAAGTATTCCAGGCAGAGTAAACATCCAGTGCAAGGCTGATGCCTGGCATGTTCCAGAAACAGCAAGGAGCTAGTGAGCATGAGGGAAGGTGACAGAAGATGAAGTCAAGGGAAGTGTGGCAGTGGGCTCAGGCAGAACAACCAACAGGAACTTTTAGGTCATAGTAAGAATTTTGACTTTTCTCTGAATAAGGTGTGAAGCCACTGGAGGGTTTTGAGCAGAGAAGTGAAAGATCTGACTTAGTCTTGAAAGGCTCACTCTGGATGCTGTATTGAGAATAGATTAAAGAGCTTGTCTGAATGAGAGATGATGGGGGCGTGGACCAGGCTGTTGGAGTGAAAGTGGTGGGGAGAGCTCAGATCCTACTATACTTTGAATCCAACAGGATTCATTACAGATGGAGAGGACCCTAGGATGTCTTTGAGGGTTTTGGAAGAATAGACTTGTCATTTACTGAGGAGAAGCCCGAGAGAGAAGCAAGGTTGGGGGAGGGTGTAATATCAGGAGCTCAGTTTAGGACATGTTAAGCCTGAGATGCCTAAAATAGACATCCAAATGAAGGTATCAAGTAGGCAGGGGGGAGCTGAGCTGTAGACATAAATTTGGGAGCCCTCTGTATACAGATGGCACTTAAAGCCATGACTGCGTGAAGATAGAAAGATATCCAAGAAGATAGAAAAGAGAGAAGGTTCCAGGACTGAGCCATTTGGGCCCTCAAGTAGTAGAGGTCAGAGAGATGAAGAAGAGCCAGCAGTGGAGACTGGTAAGGTGCAGCCAGAGAGATCAGGTGAAGAGATTGTTTCAGGAAGGTGAGGATCCTATCAGGGGTGCTACTGATAGTCAAGTAAGTCGACAACTGAGAATTGACCATTGGGTTAGGCAACGTGGATGAATATGCTTAGTTTAATACCAGTTGTATTTAGACTACATCAGGATGTACAAACTTTTCCTTAAACAGTTGGATAGATAATATGTTATGCTTGAGGGCCATAATAATGTCTCTTTCATAATTAATGAGTGCTGCTTTGGTAGTACAGAAGCATCCATAGACAATACCTAAGTGAACAGGTGTGTCTGTATTTTAATAACCCTTTATTTACAAAAGCAGGCAGCCCGCCCTATAGTTTGCCAGTGCCTGGGCTAAATAAGTATATTTTTATGAGCAAAAGCACATCATTAGATCATATTTTATACAATATTAAAAAGCATGCTGAACCTGTCATTATGACATGCCTTGGAACATGCTTCTTAGAGTTTATGTCAACCCCTAGTCTAAATAAATACCATGGAAGGAGAAACATAATGGACTCAAGTTCTAATTCAGAGCTCAGTTGTTCTGACTCAGAACTTGACTGCTTATCATATGGCAGGTGCTGTGCCACATGCTCTTCATGCTTTATCTTACTTAATCCTCACAATGACCATCTGGAAGGAAGCACCCCCATTTTCCAGATAAGGTCAAGTGGCTCTCAGTCACACAAATGTTAGATGGCAGAAGCAAGATTCACATCCACTCCCTCTGACTCCAGAACCTCACTCATAATCACTATTCTGCAGATACTCAATAAACACATAAGAGATATCCTCTCTTGTCCATTATAATTTACATTTAACTATCTGTACTAAAACTATATCCTTGTTCTGTAACAACTGTATATATTTTGGGGTTGTTATCATAGTAGTGTTTATCTAATCACTTGAATCATGGAATATAAAAGAATAAGAAAGGAAGAGAAGGGGAAGGGAGAGGGAAGATATACTGGTTTGGTAAGGGAATAGCAGATGAAAGCTTCACAGTTACTATGTGATAATGTCCTGATGTTTCAGTGTGTTTTCTCTGCGTGAGCTCCAGATATAAAGCCACAAATGCCAGGTCAACCACACCCGAAATGGTTAATTTACTGAACTCATAACACAACAGTTCTGTTGCGCTCAGTTCTCACTGCTCCAAAGGAAGAAAGAGCATTTTACCTATTTTTAGAGTGTTTTGGAGCTGGAGTTACACAACCAGAGCTGAACTATTTAAACCAAGAATTGTATTACATCTAAAATTTGTACAATTCTCTATTTATTCTCCACTATCTCTACTACTTAAATACAGATACCCAGAAGAGATAGCTACTAGTAAATGACAAATAAAAAGAATAAGTAATTCAAGTAGAAATACAACACCCAAGATATTCATCAATGTCAGTCATTATTCTAATATAATGTATAATGATGTGCTTAGATATTGACATATAAATGACTCCAAATTGATATGAGGTCTCTTTTTTTTTTGCGCATTTCTTAAATCCTTTCCTCCTTCAGCAGCTTTCCCTTCCCACGGGTCTTTAAGGCCTTTATAAATACTGAACATCTGTGTGGTATGGTTGTCAGGTTGTATACAGTTCATAAATGTGCATACATAAAGAACAAGGGAAAAATAATGTTATTGCCATCTTTTCTATTCTATACCCTGTATGTAGTACCTTGTCCCCTTTGATTGACAGGCCTTGTAATCCTTGTGGGCCAACTGGTCCTTCAGAGCCTTTTTCACCCTGAAAGTATATGAGAGGGATATCAATGCACTAATAAAAATTAAGGTTTTAAAACAAAGAATTCAAAGCATCCAAATTCACTGCTTACTACAAATGGGTAATTCTACCTAGCTCCAAGATGTGTAATTTGCAAAAAATAAATTAGTATTCACATTCATATATAGAAAAGAAACTGTCCAAGTAGAACACATAGGTGGCATCACTGAAGTTGGAAAAGAGCTCCATTTCCAGTTTAAGTAGAAATATCAATGGGAGAGCTAATCAATCATGCGTTGCAGCCAACTGAATCAGTCTTACGTTTCCTCAACTTTGCTACAGCTGATTCTTATTATTACATAATGAAAATTTGTCTCTCAGTATATGAAATAATACTTGCTAAGACTGAAATATTATATGTTTTATATTAGCATATAATATAACATAATATAAACATTTATTGAAAACTTAGTTCTAGAAGAATTCATGGAAAATCTTCTTGGATATGCTTTTAGAGTCATAAGGCCTATATGAATAGCTCTGGTCAGAATGTAGTATCAATGAAGTCATAATCCTTTATGCATTTGTACAAAAAGTAAACTGTAAAATCAATCATAAGTAGCAAACATTTCATGAATTTATTTGAACCAAGGGTAAAATCAAAGAATGTTTTCAAGAAACCTAGGAAACAGGAAATATGTATGTCTTCTATGTCTCTCTGTATTCATAATTTATTCACATAAGCCCTGTGACATTGCCAAGCTGTCCCAAGTTGCACGTGTAGAAGACTCCTGGTCTTGGCCTTGCAGGTGGGGGAGTGAAGTATTCTGACTCGTGGGTTCTTCTGATCATTACCACAGAGTGTAATTGCATATATTCAATCCTAAAACAACAGTGACTATGATGAGGTCTTTCTTTGGTGAGACAGAGGGCAGTGCAGTGATATGAGTTATTTTGAGTGAGGATATTATTGTATCATCCAGTTGCACCTGTCACTAGGACGTGCCCTAAAATATGCTTCTCAGTGTTTCACTTATTCCTATCTCATTTCTTTCTTATTTTTGGAAAAAAAACCCTACAGATAATAAAGAGAAGTAATTCTATTTGAATTTTCCAGGTTGTTTTGGCTACACACTAAGAGAGATTTATTATGTGTCAAAAAAATTCAAGAAATTATGTGTCAAAACTTTTTGAAATGCATTGCCAAATTGCTGATCTCTGACTTCTCATGATATCTGGGTTAGTTAAGGGCATTAGTAATGTCCCTTTTATCCAATATATTATTTCCATTTATTATGACAAATTAAAATTTGTTAGTTAACAGTGGCATCTTCTAAAATTGAACCCAGCAGTCACTCACAACTTGGAATTATTTGTTTTGGCTAATTGATTTCCCTTTAGTTGAGATTTAGGTTTCTCATAGGTAATTGAATATTGATCATGGTGTAAGCATGAGAATGAGAAGCAATTTTAGAGTCTGAGGCTGTATTGAGGAGGTCAGATCTTAGTAAATTGACTAAATGACTGAAATGGGAGGTCCTAGACACTTTTGAAACAGCATGTGCTTCTCTGAGCAGTGTGTCTGCAGGCATGTATGTGAGTGTGTTTGGGAGAAAGACTTTAGAAAAGAAGGAAAAAGTTCTCCAAAATTTATCCTTACTTATTCTGAAAGGCTGTTGATGCTGCCCAAAATGTCTTGGAAAATCATTTCCTGTGTGGCCTTTGGCAAATGTGCTACATATTGTAGGTAAACAGCCTAGACCAGGGATCAGCAAACTATAGCCCATTGGCCAAATCCAGCCCACTGCATGTTTTTTGTAAACAGCATTAAGGACCACAGCCATGTTCATCCATTAATACACTGTTTAGGGCTGTTTCATGCTACAGCAGAAGAAGTTAAGTAGTTGCAACAGATACCATATGGTTCACAAAGCCTAAAATATTTACTCTATGGCCTTTTACAGAAAAAGTTTGCCAAGCCCTGGTCTAGAGGAACTTGAGCTCCAAGATACATGGGAAGCGGTAGAAACCTTCAAATTCTCAGTTGCCAGGTAGAAGGTAAGTCTCCCATAACATTTTGCTCTTTCTGGGAATAAGGTAACTCTGGTTCCCTCCACTCATCCACATTTCCTTTCTTATATTGATAGCAATACTGTTTGACTAATTGGTTTATTAGACTGTTTCTTATTTATGTTTCACAAAACAGCTGTAAGTAAACCTTGGTGTAGCTTCATTTCTGGGCATAAAGATGTTATTTATCACTGGGGCTTTAATGACTACCAACTATGTTAAGAGATTTTTCTAATTTCATATGCAGCAATTATATGAAGCAGAAGTCTTTTAATTACTTATTTATAATTGCAAATACCATGATAGTTTTGTGTTAAGGGGAAATTTCCATATTACTATATTGAACAGGGTGAAGATGGTCAGGAAAATACTTGACTTGGGATAATTGGCTAGGACACATTTTTTTAAATTTGTAATCATGACCATGCAAGACAAAGAGTTTTTCCTTAGTGTAGAAGATGCCATTGTTACCTTGGGTCCTGGAAATCCTTCTCCTGGTAAGCCCCTCTCTCCTGGGGCTCCCTCAGGCCCACGGGGACCCTGGTTACGAAAAGAGGGAGTGAGGAGCGATAGGAGAGAAAGAGAGAGAATGGGAGGAGACGAGAGGAAAGGGAGGAGAGAGGAAGAAAGAAAATGGTCATATCTCAGTTGACATGGGCACGTAACGATAGAGTCCTATCTAGGTTATTAGTGAGAATTCTCCTAGTAAACACCATAATAATCCATAGAATCTTAAGATTGTGAAGAATAATCTTTTCACTGTACCATTTGATTGGCATAAGAGGTTCTATTTTGATGTTCTCAAATTAGCAGAAAATGGAAATTAAGTGACGCTTTAGAATAAGGATGAGGAAATAAATCCTCTGAGGAGAGGCTGAAAATCTAGGACTAAGTGGCCTGGAGAAGGATGCGGAGTGATTAAATAATTGAATGAAGTATCAGGAGAGCCCTGTGAAGAAATCATTGCACAGCTGTTTCAAATCACGGAATTCTGTTTACATGTTGTTTTAATTTCTGTCCTGATAAATTTGGATTCAAACCGGAATTCTTTCAGGAACTGGTTGCATCCCACTGGAGGTTTATGTACAAATAAGAGTCTTGATAGAATCATTGAGAGGAAACGGTTTTTGGCCAGTGATTAAAATGGAGGCGTCCATATGGTTATTGCTCAGAAGGGCAGTTAGAAAGGTGAGGACATGTCAATACAGGCTTTGAAGTGGACTGATAGGAAACATACTAATTGAAAAATAAAAGACAACAGCAAAATGGTCTCTTAAACTAGGAATTTTAAAAAGCTATAAATTTGTCCTCTCTTTCTTCTTGGCCAAAAAGCAAAAAAAAAAAAAAGGTAGAAAAAGGACTAATAACAAGAATCATAGAAGCATAAACTAGAGCTTTTCCTCTAATGAATCTAGAAAGATAAGTAGGGCTCACTTGCTTGGGAAGTAAATCTGTGATGGAACAAGGTCAACTGAGTTGCCCAGAGCTCCAAAGCCAGCAAGCTGCAGCCAGCATGCTGCAGACACTCTGAATGATCTTGGGACTGGATATACAGCTGTCCAGGGAAATTTAAGAGGTACCTTCCACTCAAGCGTGGCTGCAAAACTAGGATACAGCTTTATGCTCATCAGTAACTGATCACAGCTACAGATTTAGAAGAAAGTTAATTGTATCCCATATTTAATTTTTTTGCCTTTCCCTAATATTGTATATCATAAAAGGCTTCTTTAGTATTTATGCAAAGCCAATTTAGTAAAGACTTTAATTAAAGGAAAAAGCTAGCATTTAATTCAATTTAAATTGCTATGCTTGTGGGAAAACTAGCTTTTAATGATCCAAGAACCTTAATCAAAGCTCTAATATCCATGACAGCTTACTCTGATGTTAGAGCCGTTAACTAGGGGAAAAATAAATATAAGCATGAAAACTAGATTGCAAACTCAATGGACAAGCCCTAGCTAATACCACACAGTGTAACAAAATAATTGACGAATTATTCTTCTTCCCCACTGATATGACAAATGAAAATAACTCAACTGACGTTGAATGCAAAGTCTTTTTCCAGTTCATTCAATTTTTTTCCCATTCATTCAACAAATATTTATCAAATGCTTGATACATGCAAGTCACTGTGCTAGGGTCTAAAACAGCAGACATCCCTGCTCCCTGACTCATAGAGTTTACAGTCTTCCATGATATTTAAAGGAAGATTTTGGTGTCATTTGGACTGAGGTTCTAGTCTCAGCTCTGCTATATAGGCATGTGACCTTAAAGAACTAAATTAATCTCTAAAATTCAGCTTTCTCATCAGAATGGTGGAAGCAATAGTACCTGCCCCAAGCACAATGTTACTATAAGGATTAAATCAGAGATTTAAAGCTCTTATATAATAAGCAATCAATAAATATCTGCTAACACAATCAGAATTATTTTAATTATTTTACTTGAATCCTCCCATCACTCTGAATGTCCTTTTACGAAGTTTTTACAAATAAAGTAGTCTCAGAGTGAATAGCTTATAGTAAGCAATGTGGAGAGAGGCACGCTGCACAGACTAAACACTGAACCTTCCTTCCATCTCTGCTTTTCTAGAGTACATTAGCCAAGATGAAAATAAAAATAATGAACGCTTTGAGGAATCATGTGTTCCAAGCTGCTGAGAACAGAGTTAATGCTTGTGAACAATCACTTAGGGACATTTTAAAAAACAGTGATCCGAGGTTTAATTACTGGAAACTGTCAGAGTAATATTCCACACCATCAGTATATTCTCAAGTTTTCCACTTAAACACTCAAGATGAAAGATGATTGTTAACCAGAGAAGAGAAAGAGCAGGTACTTGGGTTAGATGAACTATACTTTTAATTTATTAAGACAGTACCAACACATTATTTTTTCAAAGACAGAAATGCTCTGTAAAAAGCTCACAGTGTCCTTTTCAAAGGCCATGAGAACCAATTATAACTATAATATTATTATTTGGCTTCTAATGAACACCTCTAAGTAAAACATATGTAGTGGAAGAAACTAATTATCAGTTAACACAGTCTGATCAGAAATACTTTATATGAGACATTAACAAGATAAAATATTATCCATCATCCATTTTCTTATTATTTTCCTTAATAATCTCAATAGTGTGGATAATCAATGAGTAGTTTCAATATACATTGCAAGCATTAAAGATAAATATGCTATAATAAAAATTGTCCTTAATATTCACTTAGTGCCATCCACTTTATTTTTAACTTCAAAGTAATTATAGTTTTACATCAGGGGGTATTTTTTTACCTGTAGGGCTCTGAATATCCTTGCACAAAAACATACAGATCACCCTGAGAGTCTGAACCAATGTATTTTTCATGAATCCATCATCTATCAGACCAGCACAAAACTACTGGTAATCATATAATTAAAGATGACAGTTGACAGTTCGATGTTAGGTTATGGAGCTGGAATATTAACTCAATCAATTATATTTGTATTGCTGTTGTGAAAGAGGAGAGTAGTACTAAACCTGAAACCACTTGAGATGATTCAGGCAAGGAAACAAATGTAAAGAACTTTCAGTAGAACCGTTCGTTGTCAGCCCTAAGAGAAGACTTTATGTTACTTCGAAATAATTCAAAAACCTGCATTGTTAATTTTTCATTATGACATTTGGGGGCAACATTTTCATACATTACTTGAGATTCATCCCATCTTTGTTATGATTTTAGTTCCCAGTTAAATCACAGGTTTCACAGTGTCACTCTGATTTGTATAATTGTGGCTTGGAAAGCAAGAAAACAAATAATAATTTCATGTTCTGGCAATATTGTGAAAACTCTCCAGCTTTGATACAGAAAGGCAAGTGATACAAATCTTCCTTTAAAATGAAGGTCCAAAAAATAAATACATAAGGGAAATCACAGGGTTCTAAAACAGAAAGAGATCTGAACACTAGAGGTGCCATGTAAGCTGACAGAGTAACTGTTGTGGGTAAGAAAGTGTGGTTGTGTGGTGGGACTAAGTCTTGGAAGCCTGGGAGAGAGAATCAGGAGCAAAGACTTGCTCACTCAGTGGAAAACAAGGAGAGAATTAGAACTAAGCTAGGACCTTCAAAGTTACATATCTTTCTTCAGTGACTGGGCAGGGTAGAAAAAAGCCATCCCATTAACACAGTGTTATGAGTGACAATCTTGTCAACATTCACTTGGGCTCTAAATGGGCCTGAAAACTCCTAACCTGCTCCTGTGTTGTGTATGGGTTTGTAGTTTCAAGTGACACCACATTGGTGATAGGTCTTATGTTTGGTTCAAAATCCTAGGGTTCTTTAGGACAGTTCATAAAGGCGTTGCAGTGAAATATGAAGTTCATTTTTATTCCCAATAATTCAGAGCATTGTGAAAAATTCTTTTTCATGGCTGTCAAAAACTTCTCAAATTCTCTGCTGCATTTCCTCTACACATGGCGACCTCTCTGGGTCTGTGTCTTTCTACCAGGTGTCACTTTGGTTTTCTATGTTTCCAACCACTCCAGTGTAGAACCAGCAGTGTCTTCTTTCTCAGTGGTTTCATTTTAAGGGTACTGTCTAGTTAGTGGAAACTAAGACTAGACGATTAGTCCATTGTATCTCTCCTCTATATGAGGGTCTGTTTTTTGAATTAGTGTATCCAGACATTAATGAAAAGCCTAACCCTCAAATAGGATGCTACTATTTCATTTTCAGAGTACAGCAAGGATGCACATGTTTCTGTTAATATTTACATGTGAGGAACTATGCAATGCAAAACCCAGTTGAGAGACCAAGTATTCACAATCAGTTGTGCTTATTTGTACGCCAGCAAGTCAGCTACTGTTCTGTCCTAGGAGAATGATGATTACTTGAAAAGTTAAAAACCTTCTTATACTAGAATACTTATGTTTTATTCATTTCCTCTCCAGTTCTCGTTTGATAGAAGTTTTTCTTCTCCAACAATGGTAAACATCAAAGCTACATCAGGTGGAAGCTGTAAATAACACGGGTATTACTGGTCTGACATCATGAGTTCTAGCTTTAGAGTGTACTCATGGATTAGGCAATGAGCAAGGTCCTTATTCTCAGAGATTTTCTCATGGTTACAGAAAAGTCAATTACAGAATATAGACACTAGGTCTGAATATAGACCTCCTATCTCTTAGGAAATTTTGACATTATGAGGACTCTTTCCTTCTTGGACAAGCGGATTAATCTTGTAAGAGATTACAGTAAGAGAGAGACTGTGGTACATATCCTATAAATAAATATATAAATGTACATATACATATATATATTTCAAGTGTTATGAAAAATAATACTTGGATCTTATCTTTTCATATTTATCATCTTTTGTTTGTTGTCCAAAAAGATAAAGATGGCTTAATTTAACCGCTTATTCTAACCAGAAACAGCATATAAAACTATATTTGTCATTTTTGTTCCACCTAGAATTTCTTGCTACTCACTGTCTGGCCTGGCTCACCAACACCAATCGGTCCTGGAGCCCCAATTCTTCCTTCCTGACCTCTTTCCCCCTGCAAGGAAGACATAATTAAATGAAAGTTTGAATTTTTAAATAAAGAATTCAAATAGCACAAAATACCCTGGAGATTTCAACAAAGATAAATAGCAAAATTGTCAAACTTTTCACATTCATAAAGAATAAAAAAAAAACTAGAGGAAAAATACCTTGAATTTAAGTGAACAAATTACCCCAAAGTATTCATTAATCCTTCTTGTCTAAATGCAGTTTGGCACCTTCAGCTTTCAGAAACTGTTGTGTAGTGATTGGCAGGATGGACTGTACTCCTCATTTTGATTAGTGAGACGACCAGTTGACAGTGCTCGTGCTGATGCCTGCTCCATCGCCGCCACCCTGGGGTGCCTCCCTCTACCCTGCCCCACTCCATTTCACCTCACCATTCAGTTCTATTTCCACTAGATCTCATTCAGAATCCTTCCCCAGTAACTCTGCCAATACTAATGCCACCTTCCCTGGAGTCTCAATGTGCTTTTTGTCTAAATGCCATCCGTGGTGACACTGCTTATATTTGAAGTGCACTTTTTTTATACTGTCCTCTGTTTTAGTCCTGCACTGAAGCCTTATTGTCCCAACGACACAGAAAAGCCATTGAAAATAAGCACTTCTGCTCTAGCACATCCTGCATGATGCAGAGCCCCCTGGGGTGTTGGGTGTCCTAGTTCTTTCTAGTTCCCTGTAAGCTCCTCTGTCAACATCTACCTGATCAGTGTCATCATTCTTCTGATTTCTGTCCCTCTATGCTTATTTGATATGAGCAGGTGATAGTTGATGTGTTAAGGTGTTTCATGTCCTAGGACCATGTTTGCATGCTAACATTTAAAGTCCACAAAAACTCAATGGAACTAGCTGACAAGAGAGTGGGTATTTGGAGACAAGCAAAATTTTTATCCCAATCCAATAAAAAAGTACAGATTTTTCTTGAGGTAACTGCCCCTGACCAGGGCATTGCAATGTCCAAGCACCCAGACCAAGTAACTTATGCAGGCAGCCTCCTTGTGTCTGTGAGGGTCAGAACAATCAGAGCTCCCCCAGCCCTACAATAAACTTAACAAATCATCACTAGGCAAAGGGACAAATACCTTTACCTTAATGCCTTGCTGTCCAATACCAGGGGCTCCTGGAGGACCATAAGGACCAGGAGGACCAGGCTCACCCTAGAGGAAGAAACAGTGATATGTTAGGAGCAGCTCTTAGACATATAGTGATGTGACAGGGGCTTTGAGGGCAACAATAAAACCTAGTACCTAGTCACCACTCTCAGGTGTTTACCACCCACAGATTGAACTTCCTTTAACCATCAGAGATGTATACAAAGAGGACTGGGTTAATGTGGACAGCCCCAGAGCTCTGTGTCTCATGATCTTTGGATGAGTGTGAATGCGAGCGAGCATGAGTGTAAGCATGCCAGGGGCATTGCCAGAGGTTAGGGAGGCCACTTTCATCCTTCTCAGAAATTAAGGACGCCTATGCTATCGGCCTCAAGATTAAAGAAAGCCAATGCTTAATAAAACCTACTGTTTTCAAGCACTGCCCTGGCACTTCATATAGATTATCTCTTTAATCTTCTAAAAATCTTAGGAAATTGGTATTTTTCTCATTTTATGATATAGAAATATAATCTCCATTTTTAAATTCATTTTTCAGCATGCATGGTATCACAGAAAAATAAAACATGGCTTTTTTCATTCAGTCTGCTTGAATCTTGGCTCTATAATTTACTAAGTTTGAGCTTTTGCAAGATTCCCATATGCAAAATGAGGATAATTATAGCTACCTTGCAGCGTTGTTTAGAGGATTCAAAATATTATCTGTAAAATGTCTAAATTGTAACCAGTCCCAAGGTAGCTGCATAATATATGTAGATCAATTGTTATTCACCAGACTTTCCTTGAGCACCAACCTGGTACTGAGTACCTGCTTACATAATGATGGGCATAAATCAGGTTGCACCTGCACTTTGCAGACACTTACAATCTGGCTGGAGAGACAAACTAATATAAAACAAAATACAAGCATGTGAATACCTATAATAAAGATATTAACAGAGCGTGTAAAATCCTTAGGCAATAATTCCTTAATTCTACCTTAAGGAATTCGGAAAGTTTTATATATAGTAGAGGAGATATTTCCTCTGAACAAAGAAGTATGAATCATATCTAATCTGGTAGGAGAGAAGAGGAAGAAAAGTTCAGGAAAGGGAAAAAGTATGAGGCGTAAAAGACGTGAAATGTTCTGGGGACAGTAAGCAGCACTGTGGGCTCAAGCAGACAAGAACAAGGTGACAGTAGGGTCACTGCCTGGCGTGGCACTGTCAACTGAAAGTATACAGTGAGCCACATATGTAATTTAAAATTTTCTAGTAGCCACACTAAAGAAAATAATATTGGATTTTACTTAACCCAACATACCCAAATATAACCAATATAAAAGTCTTATTAATGATTTTATTTTTAATTATTTGTTAATATTATGTATTTGAAGTCCTATGTGTATTTAATACTTACAGCATATCTCAGTTTGGACTACCCATATTTGTGCTCAGTAGTCACGTGTGGCTACTGTATTGAACAGTACCGATTTAGTGATTTAAAAAGCTGGAGGCTCAGGTCAGAACCATGGAGAGTACCAACATTTAGGTTGAGTGGGAGTGGGAGGACATAAGAGATGTCTGATGGAAATTTGGGGATTACAGCGGCCAAGAAAAAAAAAATGAGATCTGAAAAAAGTAGTGTAAAAGAAGTCAGAAAAAAAGAGTTTCAAAAGGAATTCATCATTCCAAAGACAAAGTCATAGTCTTCCACCTGCAAGCCTGATGATCTTCCAGCATTCTCTCTTTCAGGGAAGGGCACCAAGATCCCTCCAGGTGTCAAGCCAGAACCTAGGAGTCATTCTTAACATCTCTCACTCCCTTACTCCCCATATGCAATGCATCACCAAATCTATCAATATGCTCCTAAATCTCAAATCTGTCCACCTCTGTGATCCTCTGCCATGCCCCTACAATCTACCCCAAATTAATATCATCTCTTGCTCAGACAACAACAAAGTCCTTAATAGTCCACATGCATCCATTCTAGCACACTCTAATTTATTCTCCCCATTGCTGCTGAGCAATCTTTTAATTTTAATCTGAGGAAAACCCTTCAATTCCTTTCCTTTTGCTCTTAGGGTAAAAATAGAGCTCCTTACAAGGCTTGTGGGCCCCTGCATGGTGTGGTCCTGTGGCCTTTTCAGTACTATCTGTTATTAGTTGCCTCTTCACTAATGACCCTAGCACCACTGGCCTTTATTCAGTTCCCTGTACTTTCCAGCCTCCAGCCTGCCACAGGCTCTTTGCACATGCTACTCTCTCTGAGGTGTGCTTACCTCTGTCTTTTCCTAGTTGATCCTTATAATCTTTCAGATCTTATTTTAAGCCACATGGAACATGGAGGATCTCTTTGGTCCTGTGAAATCCCTATTCTGCAGGCACTGATATCATTGTCCTCTTTGTCTGAGCCTTCATTACAGTTGCACCTCTGTATTTCTACAAGTGTTAATATATCTCCCCCTGCACTGTGGGGAGGATGCCATGTGATTTTGCTTAGCTTTGGATTTTCAATGTTTAGCTAATTGATATTATCTACTCAACATCCATACATCAAACATTTACTGAACATTGCCTAGGGAGCAAGTACTGTGCCAGCCACTAGAGGTGAACAAAACAGAAAACCTGGTCCAGGCTGGGGGGAATTGGGGGTCTAGAATTGCTCCTCTGGAGTTCTCTCGGTTTACTTAGGTTTTCCACTAAGAGCAACTGCGCATATAGTACATAGTGATATCAAGTATAGTTTATCCTACAAACTTACCCAGATACAATCAATCTCTTTTTTTCAGCTGAAAGAGTAATAAAATCCCAATAAATGGCCTAAAGTTACACTGCATGGAAAGTTCAGCTAGAGAAACCCAATACTCCGTATTCCTGGCACTGGCTCTAAACAAAGTCAACATCTTTCCTTTCCATAAAATAATAAATAAGGAATGGTTGTTCAAAACTCTGAATTTTTTGAGGACAGAACTTTATCTTTTCTTGAATAATACAATTATGAATAATTTAGTCACACCTTGGGCTCTTAACGGTAGAGGGATGTTTTAGTAACTTCTTTTAATTGTGTCCTGGATATGTGTAACACCAACTTTAATATTTTAAGTCTTGAGACATATATTCTCATATCTTCCCAGTGGAAGAAAGTGATGAATGAGCATTTTGTAGGTGCAGAATGGTTCAAGCATGGACAAAACACATGATTATCTGAAACTCCATGCAGTGATGACTATATACAAAGGTTTGGAGAAAAGTCAAGAAAGGTCCTTTTTTTTTTTTGTAAAGAAAGAAAAGTAGGAGGTGGTGAGGGCAGGAAACTAATATTTATTAAATACTTTTCAAATCAAGCTCAAATTTTGTTCCTAATTCCTCTTGTTTCAGAGGAAATGTTGTGTAAGAGGCTTATTTTTAGCAAGTGCATCAGGCTTCCTTTGTTCCACATTAATAAAAAGGTGGTTGTCAAAATACTTAACTGCTCAGTTATTGCCAACACATATGGTTCTTACTATGTAACCGGCGCTGTTCTAAGTGCTTTACACGTATTAACTTATGTAATCCTCAAAACACCTCTAAGCTGTTGCTACTACTATAAACTCATTACGTGAATGAGAAAACTGAGGCATGGGGAGGAAAAGTAACTTGCCCAAATCACAGAGCTAATACAGTATAGGGCTGGGTTTCAATGCCCGCAGTCTGTTTTTAGAGTCAGTTTTCTACCACCATGTAAAACTACCTCTTGGGACTTCTCAGTTCTTTTCTAAGTAATTCAAAAATCATTTGATTGCAGACTAAATTTATATCTTTGTTATACGATGAAAAACACAAAAGTTAGATAGTTGCAATCTACCCATAGTTGAAGAGTCATCATATGAAGACAACATATAAAATATAAATGTAAGCCAAGAGGAAGTATACTTTTGCAAGCCAACTTACATGCCATTTCAGGCACATAAAGTCTGGATCGGTGTTGTCATTGATAAGTGGTAAAGGTAATACAAATTATAACTGGCTACTGTGATCACACAACGTAACTCTACATATAAACCAGTTATTAACCAACTGCCCTAAGTTTGGAACCACCATTATTTCAAATCTCCAATTGCAATCTTTTTTGAATAATATCTACTTAAGTAAGAGAAAAGACCACCATCCATGTACTCCACCTACTTACGCTTTTTAGAGAAGAAAAATCTCCATAATAACAAGGAATTGGTGAAGAATGTAATAAAATTGTAGTATTATACCAGATTTTAGTAACTCAATTCATTTTCTTAATTGCTATTAGATTAAACAACATGAAACTGATAATATTCAACTATGTTTGACTTACAAAAAGGATGATTCATATGTTTCAACCTAACAGAAAAGTCTTATTTCATCATATACAATGAAACCTAAGGAATGGTGTGTCATTTCCCCTAAAAGAAAGAATTACCCAGCAGTTCATCAAGAGACCTTTTAAGAATCTTGGCTCTGGTGGACACTCTTTGGATTCTTCCAGCACAAAATGAGTTGCTGGAAACAGTTCAGGGTGAACCCTCTCCATAAATCTGCAAACAAGGACATCAATTCATGAGAGGAGATGGGTTCATATGACCATGTGGTAGTTTTCTAAAACCTTACTCTTGGAGACTGGGGGCAGCGGGAAGTGAGGAGAGTATTGTTGAAAGGGTACAAAGTCTATGTTTAGACATGAAAAACTCTTGAATATAGATAGTGATGATGGTTACATAATACTGTGAATGGATTTAATACCATTGACTTGTACACAAATGGTTAAAATGATAAATATTGTGTATATTTTACCACTTTTTGTTTTTTAAAGCTTACTCATAGAATAAACGTAATTTTCCCTGTTGCAATGTTGCTTTTGCAACTTACTTGAATTAATTAAGGACATTGATGTAATTATTAAGAAAAACTCTGACATCCCTCTGAAGACACTGCGGTAACTGATTCCGTTCCACATTAGCGCCCCACTTGACTGGGGACGTGGGTTAGACTCAGCACCCTGTAGGAAATGTTGGCAGCATTGGGGGTTCCCTGATCCATCAGTTTTCATCTTGGCAG